GTGATTTATTGTATTTGGTTGTAATGTTGAGTAGTTTTGTTTTGTTGGTGTTGCAATTTACTCTTTTTCGTAGTATATTTCTAATACCTATAGATTATTCTGTGTTTTCGTCTGAGACATGCAAAATATGAGATAATTAAGTTAATCATCAATCTTGAGGGGATTTTCGGATATAGTTTGGTCACAATTGAAGCAATTAATTGTGTATAACCAATGATCACTCTTATCTCGCCTATATTGCAATGATATGTAATTACGCTTTGCATATAAATATCTGGGCTGCGAGTGAAATGGACACGAGCAGCTTGAGGGGCAGAACAATATAGTTGGCCAGAGAATGGGAGTTAGTTAATTCCACCCTCCTAATCTAAATGTTTCACACACGACCACTCCAACACGGTGTAATATCCCTCTGTTCGGGAGCACTTAATGGGACATTTTATGCACCTCGCCTTCGTCTCTGAATTGTTCCGACTCCACTTGAGGGCGGACCCGGTCAGGGTGATTGGGAGCCGGACAATTCATTGGACAATATGCACATTCCTCTGAAGTTTATGGGCATCCCAGGAAGCTTGGCGGCAACCACAGGATGAGTCTCGTGGTGACTTGATGTAATTTTTCCACCCTCTCCGTGTAACTCGCTCGGGGTGGTTCAAAGCCCAGAGTGTCGTGATTTAAATTTACTGTGTGTGTGTCGTTAATTCCGATGAAAATTACCAGTAATTTACATTTATACGTTCCTCCATTCATGCACCTCACTTGACTCCGGCTGGGGCGCTGCTGAAGAGTTAGGGGCTCCAGTCACACAACTCAGAGCCTGTGAATGTGTGTGGCGAAGAAATTAAATTATGTGTCTCTTCCGTATGAATTGAAAGAGGGGTGGTTTGGTAATAATGCCATGGCACGAAGGAGTGAATTCATCTGATGAATTGAATTAATTAAATCTTCACATTTCGACACAATGAAAGTTCAGCGGGAAAAAACAAGGACATCTTTTCAGCAATTCTATGTCTTATCCGCGTTTTCATTGGCAAAGCCCATAGCCCAGAAGATGGCACGAGTTCGCTGGAGAGATGATTAAAGAAATTACTCGGACATTTTGCCATATTGCTCGTCATTGAGAAATTATACTGAGCAAATGGCAGAGCGATATTTCACCACAGCAATAAACATAATAATAACAATATAAATAAAAAAAAAGTATATTTGCAGTGGACGTGCGGAGGTGGGGATGAAATGAAAATGTCTTCCACGGCTTAAGTCACTATTTAAGCTAAAAGCTTTTATCCCTCTCAAGACATTACGACCCTCTTTGTGTCCCTCCCGAGAACCGTCAACCCCTAAATGCACGGCAAATCCAAATGCCTCGTGAAGTGATTTTCATTTTATAGTTGTCTTCAGTGGGAAAGTGCATTTCTTAAGATTTTTGCAAATATGCGCGCATAAGAGAATATTTAATTTAACTCACAATTTCATGTTGGCAAATGCTTCTGCCAGGCTTTTGTCGCTTCTTATGCCGTCTAGACTTTTAGACAGTGAAATGCAATTTATTTATTCGTTTTTCTTTCAATTCCCTTATTTGTTTTCCCCACACTTTTTCCCCTTTTGATTCTTCCTACGGCACAGAGTGGAATTTTGTAACTCTGCAAAGAATAGAACTTAATTTTCCGAGAGTCACAAGTAAATATTCCACAGTGGAATTACTAGAGAAAACATGCTGTCAAGGAGAAACGCAAGGAGGTAATTCATCATACTTTTTCTTCAATTTTCCCCTTCATTCAGATTCTGGACGGAAGGAAAAACAGCACAAAGATACAGAGGGTGGGCAATCATTTGATCGAAGACTTTCTCAATGAAAAGGTGTAATTAGTTTAAAAGCTCTTCTGTCGAGAGAGAGAGAGAGAGCTTTTCCTGGAAAAATCACTTCATTTGTGTTATTTTGCGCACAGAGCGAAAGCCGTATTTGTGTATAAGTGGATTTCCTGGTTGTATTTTGCATAACTGATGAATGATTGAGGGTTGAAGTATTGCGGCACACGACATGTCTGGCAGGCAAATTAAATGGAGAGAAACAATTGTATAAATTTTATTTCTCTTCAATTGTAATCCTCTTTGGATTCTGAAACTTCCTCCTCTGATGCTGCCAACGTTATATCAAATATTACATCAAATATTCAAGTAATATTCATCAAATTTCCCTCCTTGAGATCAACTCTCGATGTACACAGTGCGAGTGGCTTTGGCAAACAAGGCGATGATTCCACAAAGTGAAGTTTGAGAAGCGCCACAAGGAAGGGCGCAAAAAGACGGTTGGGATTCGATCAATCCGCAAAACTTTAATGCCAAGTTGCAAGTCGACAAACTCATGAATTTGCAAATTAATCCATTCATTTTAATAATATAAGACAGTCGACGGTGGTGGCAAAAAAGTCCTCATAAAGTCACCTTACGAGTCGTTGAAAAATTTCCGTGAATAATTTAACAATTTGCTACTTGGCGGTCTTTATTATTCCATGGCTTCGGAGGGTGGCGATGTTGCACAACTTGCGTCTCCTAATGGCCACACTCAAAGGCGGCCCAGCAGCAATATTTAGAATAAATGTCAAAGGCACGACATCAACATAAAAGATTGTACGTGGCTGGGAAATATGAACTTGATAACCGGGAACCATTTAGTATGTTGAATCCCGCCCCAGAGGGTAGCAATTGCTCCTAATGTATGCCATGGCAAAATGGGGAAACGGAGACACAATCATTTCGCATGCGGCCTCGTCAATTCCTAATTCTCCACCCGAGACATTTTCTATATGCCAAGCGAATTCCACTGCGATAAATTTTGCAGAGAAATTATGAACTATTGTGTTGCCGCTCAAGACACTCGCCATGCGACGAGGGAATGGAAAGTTCGACTGTTCTTGAGCACCTCGACATGTTCCCCAAATTGAGATAGATAAATTTTACTGTGCGGGATTTCATTCTCCAAAGCGAGAGCTATTGATGACTGAGATACCATAGCTATTTAAGAAAGGGGTTGGGGAGGTTTTACACCCTCACGAAATCTCCCACATTTCGTGCCAAAAACTTTGAACATTCGCTCGTGGAATTAGGAAATAAGTTCACGTCATATTAACATTTTAGGACACTGAAATTTCTTTCCATAGTGTGTTAAATTTATGCATTATCACAGGTGAAAGTAATAGTCTGAATGTAAGGGTCATAAGTAAAACATGTCAAACACTGAATTGTATTTCGCGTGATTAACCAACAAACACGTTGTTAAACAAGAACTACAATATTATTTCAATGCGATTAGACTTTACTACATCAATAAAATGTTGAATATGTCATTAACGGGCGACTAAAGCTCCACAAAGCTTTCCACGAAAAAAGACGAAAGAACTAGATTTATTGGTGTTCATAGAGCCAAAAATTATGCGTTCAATATAGAGACGGAAGTTCACGACATGCAACGTATGGATTTCCTGGGGATTCTGGCGAATGGCGAGAGAGCAATTAAAAGTCTGTGCGAAATGTAATTATAGAGATTGCCATCAAATAGCCAATTGTCGCTTCTTCTTCTACTCATCCAGAGAGCTTCTTCAGCACCATGAATAGAAGGAGGGAAATTATGGCGATAAGTAATGAAATAATTCATTTCTGCTAAGAACACACGCACGACTGAATGCTGGGAATACAATACCACCCCTTTGCCACCCACCATTGTCCTCCCGATCAAAGCGGGGTGTGAGCGGGTTTGATATTGTTTCCCTTTGCAGGGAATGAAGTGGAGTCTGGTCGATGAATACCATCTGCCGGGACGAAGGGGTTGAAACAGCGCGTGAAGAGTAAATTTCAGAAAAATATCTAGCCTACATTGTGATCATGAATCATAATGACAAATCCCACTCGGAGCCAATTAAGGAGAATGGAAGCTATAATTGAGAGAGAATCATAATTGATTGTAAGATAATTAGTTCTCGGAAAGCTCCTTGACATCAACCACAAAGTGCTCCAATCAGAAACTTCCACCCAAAACCGTAAACATTCTGTGCCTCGTAGAAAAAATCAACCATTGAACAAGACAAATATAAATTTCAAGATCTGTATAATTATTGAGCAAGCATGTTTTCAGTATTTACAATATATGTACTTATATCTAGAGTGTTTACAATTTATCTGCGATGAAGCGTGTTCCAGAAGTATCGCCTCTCCTTCCTGTACACTGGCTTGTAGATACACAGGCCGTCGACGAACTCCGGAACGCAGTAGGACAGGAACATCGGGTGGCGGGCGTCGGGAAAGCCGGGCGGCAGCTTGTAGTCCAGGTCGGGATGGAAGATCCACTGCGGAGTCGGAACGCCGCAAGGGCTAGGAAGCAGAGGCAACAGATCGGGCTTCCTGGGCTTCTTCGCGGCCGGCGGTCCAGAACTCGATGCTTGACTTGGCGCTGAACTCGGTGTTGGACTGGGTGTTAAACTCGAAGAAGGACTCTGCGTTGAACTCGAAGAAGGCCTCGGTGTCTCACTTGGTGACCAATACTGTCGTTTGAGGTTCCGCTTCTCTCCAATGACTCCAAACATGTTGGCTGGGAGGAAGGAATCGTAAGGACCCGCGTCCGTGCCGTTGCTCTCAAACTCTGACCGAAAACAAGACATTTTTCTACTACTCAAGAGCTGTCGATGTGAACTAGTCTGAACTCGAAGGGTGATTGACGACAGATCCTTCGGCTCCTTCTTTTATATGCTCGATCCGACTACCTGCGCTGCGACTAATTACCCTAGCCGAACCCTTGTAATCTGTGTTTACCAGTATTTGAAAACGTCATTAAAACCTGTTTATTAACAACTACCTAATCATACCATTGGGATTATCCTTAACTTCTTGTCAAAATATTTCTTCCAATCTCAGAAAGGCAGGTTACATTCTGCATTCACGAGCCGTTCTGGGTTTTAGAAAATCAAGCTAAAGTTTCCAAACTGGCCAAAATTGGATTTTATGCAAACAGTAATTCGAATTGTCCTTATTAAAACCTGTTTATCAACTCTATCACCATGTCGTAAAGTTTCTCCTTAACACTTGTGGCCAAAACATAGTCCAAATGATTCCAATCTTCCAAATCAATCAAGTGCATTTTGTACAAACCGGGCAGGAATGAGGCTAATCTCTCCACGTCCGTCACATTAACCACCCAATCATTGGATGAGTAGTGAAGGACTGTTGGGACTCTAGTTCTCCTTAGCCGATAGTCTGGAGGACTCATTTGGTGATAACGCCTGAAGTTTTCAAGAGCTCCAAAATCGTATTGCTTGAAACCTTTGGAATTTGCCAGTTGGCAATAGTGAAAGCCTTGTCTGGCTGACGATCCAGCTGGCATGTGGCCCAAGTACTGAGGCAGGATAGTCTGGAAGGAGCACAGTCGTGAATTTAGAGTCAGATCTTCGTAAGGTTCAAACCTACCGAGTTCATTTGCTGCGGATCAAAGCCTACAACGAGAAAGAGGGCATTTTGACACATGTAGGCAACCGGGGAGGTTTCGCTGCACATAAGCTGGGTGGATGTCCTTAACCAGTCTGAGGATGGTAGGAATTCAAAGATCCCCAGCGTGGCGAATGCCATTTCCACAGCTGGCAAATTCTGGGCAAATGCTTGAACAACTGGAGATCTGGGATTGGCCATAAAGGCCACCGGAGCGAAGGATTGCATCAGGATGATCTTGCTGTTGTACTCTGGAAGTTCAGACATCATCACCCAGAAGCTAGTGGATCCCTGAGAGTGGCCACAGTAGAAGAGACTGCTGTGTCCAGTGATTTCCAGGACATAATCTATCGTCACTGGCAAGTCGTAAATGCCAATTTCGTGCCAGGAGAAGAGCCAAAAGTCCCGACTCTCGGGATTCAGCGCTATGTGACTCCGAGAGTAGCGATTCCCTCGTGCATTTCCCATCCAGACGTCGTAGTTCTGGTCGGAGAGAAGGTATCCGAGGGCGATGTCTGGACCCAGAATCACCCAATCCGCTGAGGAGCCCAGAAGGCAGTGCATGAGCAACACAACGCGCTTCCCGGGCTTTGGTGGATAGCGTTCTCCGCCGGATATTCTGTGCAGCTCAAGAATGTAGCCATCCTTGGTGGTGACGTTGTGAACCTCTGCGTAATACCGGTATTTGTGAATTAATTCCACCTGAAAATGTACATTTCTGTCTTTCAAACAATTTGCCAATTGTTCATTGATTGCGCTTTTACTCACTGTCGTCAAATATGCATCCTCTCTAATGTCCTCTTGAGTTCTTTGTCCACTAACAACCCAAAATGCTAATATTACAAAATGGTAATAAATCATCATTCATTTCCTGGACGGAGTGCAGAGTCACCCTGTGAAATCAATTCAAAAAGTTCAATGGCGCGGTCATGGGAAATTCCCTCATCCGGGTGCGAGTCTTTGCTACAAATTGTGCGTAAAAGATGGAAGCGCGGCGAACTTCACGGTGCACTCATCGACTTCATCGATTTGTTTGTTCTGACAAGTGAGACGGCGCATAAACTGATGAGCTGAGCTGTGTTATTTGGTGCTTTTCCTCCACAATTTCCGCAGGTTCGTGCGTGGAAGTCGAGTGCAATCCAGTGTTGAGTGTCGTGGGTGTCGCGAGCAGCTGAAATTGGGGCGCCAGAGCCTCGCGAGTGGGCGAAAAGCGGCGGTGAAAACAAGGTGAGAAGAGTGCATCGGAGGCTGTCGCGGTGAAGCAAAATGGAGAAAAACACACTCGAGGTCGGGTGACTTGGCCGAGTGCTGGGCAATAATGGGGAATTCAGGGATTATATTCTCGTGATCTCAGGGAGAGACTGAAAGTCTGTGATGTTCCAGCATCGCGAATTGATGGAGCAAAAACATTCGCTCGTTATCAGCGCGTTATCAAGCGCGCGAGTTGGTTTGTTGTCCGCTTTGCGGATTCTCGGAAATCACGCTGATGGTAAACAACATTTTTCAGTCTCTCTCTGAAAATGGAAATGTGAGGCAGACGAGTTGATCGTCTGCCTGAGCGACGCAATGAATTAGCATCTCTATTAATCCACAGCCGCACATCGGATCACGCCTCCGATTGGCAATCTCTGCTGAGCTGAGCAGCCACTGAGACTTGCGAGGAATCTCCGGAACACGCGCAGGTGAGAAGCCGCCCCGGCACTGGATTCGGTCACGAGCACACGCACAGTAATAACTCTTCTGCTCTCTCCAGTCACAGTGCAGAACTGAGAATGGTCGAGTTGGCGGCCTAGCGAGGTGATTTTCCCCCTAAATTGAGGATGTGCGCCTCATTTGCGCGCTGATTTCCATCAATCCAGTGATTCTTAATGTGCAATAAGCGCCGCGGAAGCCCAGCCAGCAGATCGTGATCGTCCCAGAGAGATGGCATCGAGCGAAATCTTCCTCTATCTCACCAATGGCTTCGTCACGATTGACCACTCGCCCACGGACACGTGCGAGGGCGTGTGCAGCCTCGTGTGCCGGCGCCTCAAGATCCAGCCCTACGTGGAGCTCCTCTTCGGCCTGCGCGTCACCGGCTCCAAGAACTTCGTCGCCCCCTGCCAGCCGCTAGTGGCGCGCCAGAAGTACGAGTTCCGCATAAGATACAAGGTAATCCCTGATGTCTTACTCTTTGGCCATTGCTTATGCAAAATGTCAATTATGGAAGACCAGGCAGACTTCCCAGAATTGCCAATGAATGTCCCCATTTTCCCCGGGAATTCAGAGAATCAGTGAATTCTGCACGGTTCGCAATAATTTCTCAATATGGTCGATGTTATGATGCAAAAAAAGTCAATTTATGATAAGGAAGTCAAAATCTATAAATATGTATATTTCCTCACATTCTTTGTTTTCACATTTTATCAATTTCACGAGAAGTGCGATGAGAATTTATTAATCAATCGACAGATAACTCTTCGAAGGGTGAACAGAAGACTATGAAAAGTCGTATTTTCATTGCTGTTTGAGGTAAATTTGGCAATTTTCAACTCGTTCTCCTGAATTTGGACTTTTCATGGTTTTCGATTTTCCCTCAAACTTGCTCTTTGTCTTTCTGCCACTCCGGAAAGGGTTAACTTTATGCAAATTGACTTTTTCTCTATCTCTTCTCATCTCTGATCAATTGATGAAACGCAAAATTGTGAACTTTGAGACTTGCTTATATCGTCAATGCAGTGCTCTATTAAATAATGCGTAACGCAAAGAACACCATTTGTGTCAACAAAAAGCCGAGTTAAAGGCTGTGCCATGTCTAAATTAAACCTAAATCTATTTACGATGCTGCGTCGATTCTGTGTTGTAAACAGTGAGTTTCTGTTTACTCAGCACTGTTCTTCGCCATGCAGTTGAAAACTCCATTGATTTCTTGAGTCCTCTTGAGTTCTGTCTTTCTTTTTTGCCTTCCGCAATAAGCCGTGGGCAGCGCTTCATCTCCTGCTTGCGAGGGTGTTGAATAATTGATGGTGTATAAAGTTTTTGAATGTGATTAAAAATGCATGGGAGGAAAAGTGCTGCGCTGAAAGTGTCGTGAGTGAGTTTTTAATTACAGGACTGTGGCAGGATGTGATAGACTGCTAAATCGTTGCGAATAAGGTCGCCAAATGGCATTTCCCATGCAAGTCAGAGACCTTTTGTGGCAATTACACTAATTGACGTTATTCTTGTGGCTTTGCAGTTGCCCGACGTGACGAAGATAAAGGAGCTGGACAAGGAGTTGTTCAAGTACTACTTCAGTCAGGTGAAGCACGATCTGCTGGAGAACAAGATCTCCCATTTGCAGTATGACGAGCACTCGCAGAAGAAGATCATGGGCCTCGTGCTCACGGACATGTATCTGGAGATGGTGCAGAACAAGGTGTCGAAGCAGGACTTGATGGGGCACTATAAGCGCTACGTGCCGAAGGTGATTATAAAGAATCACGTGCTACACTTCGTGAAACGTGCCATCAAGAAGGAGTTGGATACGATTGAGAAGTTTGATCACGATCCCTTCTACATCATTCAATCGTACATCTCAGAGATCTCGAACATTGCGCCTGATTACCTCACGGAGGAGTACATTGCCAACTCGCCGTACCTCCAGGAGGGCGACCAGGCGGCGACCAGGACGGGCTGGTGTCCGGTGACGCTGAGGATTTCGCCGTACCACAGCGAGAAGCCGGGACTGCGCGTTCACTATGCGTACAAGAACATGTGGAAGAGCTTCAGCATCGAGAGCATGAGCGGCATCGAGACGATGGACCTGGAGGTCAGGATAATCACGCAGGACGAGCGAGACAAGTACTTGCTGAAGTTCAAGGACAGAGAGAGTCTGGAGTCCTTCGTCAGCTGCCTGTCCGGCTACTACAGACTGATGGCGAAGTGGTCAATCAATCTCTGCGGCAATCTGCCGTCGCCCTCGCTGGGTCGACTCGAGGCGATGCGATGCCACGGGCCGATCGGGAAGGAGTTCGCGTACAAGAAGATCGAGGCGAACAGGAACGAAAGTGGGGCGTTTCTCGTGCGAGAGTGTGAGGAGAACTACGATGTGTACTATCTGGATATGGTGTGGAAGAAGGATGAATTCAGGACGTTCAAGTTGGTGTTCAGGAAGAACAAATTCCACTTGCTGTACAACGACACAGAGACGCCCTTCGACACCCTCGTGGATGCCGCGAAGAGCATTCCAGTGCCGTCTGGGAAGCACTTTGTCCTCCAGCCGTCGGATTACGATAAGCCCACGAAGCTGCTGCTGTGTCGCTACGTGGTGGAGAAGGTGGAACTGGAGGTGGTGAAGGAGGGCGATGAGATTCGCAAAGGGAAAACCCTCCTGATTGACTCATCGCGCGAACTGGTGCTGGATCAGGCCAGCGAGAGGGAATGCGAGGGTGGCGTTCTCACCAGGATGAATGGATATCTCATTGTGAATGAGAAGAGCAAGATTAAGGTGATGCTGAATGTGCTGAAGCCGGACAAGAAGCACAATCTGGAAACGTTTATGCATTTGGCGCACAAATGGAGTCGCCTGAATTCGCCAAATCTCATGAAGATGTACGGCTTCACGCTGTACCAGCCCATTGCGATGGTGATGGAGTCCTCGGGCTTGGGACCGCTCAATGAGTACTTCAGACAGGTGGCGGTTCTGCCGCTGTCCTGCCTCATCAGCATCGCCTACTCCCTGCTCAGGGCCATTATCTATCTGCAGAATGAAAGTATCGTGCACAACAGGATTCGATGCTCATCGCTGTACGTCGTGAGTCAAAATGACACGGATGTGTACGTGAGACTCGGCGATCCGGGCTTCCAGACGACGCTCACGTACAAAGAGTGAGTATCGCTGAAGGAGTTGTGTTTGTCTGTTCGCAGGATTTACCACTTTTTTCTCTCTCTCTGCAGCATTCCGTGGATTCCGCAAGAGCACCACAACAGTCTGGAGCTGTCGCGCTTCGACATGAAGGCGGACATTTGGGCGTGCGCCACGACGATGTGGGAGATCTTCTCGCAGGGTGATTCCCCGATGTCGTGTCTCAAGTGTTTCCAGCTGCAGAAGCCACCGAAGCCGCCCAAGCCAGAGTGTTGTCCGAAGGAGATGTACGACATCATGTGCCAGGGTTGGCTGGACATCGATTCGCGCTTCAAGCCACAGTCGATTGTGCAACAATTGCACATCATCCAGCAGCAGGAGGCGCACGTCTATCACGACATCCCGCATCGCTCCAGACCGCTGCTCAGCGATCAGGGATCGCTGAGTAGTGGATTGAGTCGTGAGACTGAGCATCTGGATTTGAATGGGGACATTTCGGGCACGAGCACTGGCGGCAGCACCAGCTCGATAAGCTCCGATCGGCAGTCGATGGAGCAGAGCCAGGGCAAGGATTTGCGTCCGTCGCACTGGCCGGGCAGGAATCAGCGCGAGCGGCAGTTTGAGGTTGTGCGGCACGGGAAGATTGGGTGCGGCAACTACGGGGCGGTGTACAGAGGGGAGATTCTGGACAGGGATGACTGCACGAAGGTGGTGGATGTGGCCATAAAGGTGATCGATATCTCGCAGAGCTCCAATGGGTGGGATGAGTTTGAGAATGAGTGCAAGATCATGAAGCAGCTGAGGCATCCGAACATCGTGCAAATACTGGACTTCAACATGGACAATCTCAAGTTTGTGGAGATCGTGATGGAGTATGTGGAGAATAATTCTCTCAATTGGTATCTCACCACGAAGGACATCACGAAAATGGGGACCTTGAAGTTGCTTAATTTTGCCAAAGATATTGCGAATGTGAGTCATGTTGAGCATAAACAGTTTGGCAGTGATTTGACTAATGATTTCTTTCCTCTCTTTTGCAGGGTATGAAGTACTTGCAATCGAAGATGATTGTTCATCGGGACTTGGCGGCTCGAAATGTTCTAGTCGATAAGAAGGAGAGACTGAAGATTTCCGACTTTGGCTTGGCGCGTTGCGTCAGCATTGACGGCTACTACATCTGTCGCGATCTGGACAAGAAGGTTCCCATTGCGTGGTGGGCGCCCGAAACCCTCTCGCAGTCGATCTACACGGTGCACTCGGACATCTGGTCGTACGGAGTGACGCTGTATGAGATCTTCTCTGGCGGAAAGGAGCCCTGCCTGGAGCCCGACAAGACGCTGAGCACGGAGAGTCTCCTGGAGGCGCTGGACAAGGGCAAAAGGTAGGTTTGCACTGCACTTGTTGAGTGATTGTGTTCGCTGAGCTCTCCTGGTGTTTGTTCTTCCAGACTGCCGCTTCCGCCTGAGTGTCCCATAAATATTTACGAGAAACTGATGGCGCCGTGCTGGGCGCAGAAGAAAACCATGCGGCCGACATTCGTGACGATTCTAGACACTATCAACAAGTTGATTACAGAGTTTGGCCAGGAGGTGTAGAGGAACGGAGGCCGTTGAACGTGCGCAGCGAAAGTATCCCAATCGAGCTTGCAAAGAAGAAGAAAAACTGTTGAAAACGATATTAATCTTATAGTGAAGCCACTTTATTTCTACATTGAGTAGTTTTCTCATAAACATTTCGTCAACATCGAACAGTTATACAAAAAATATATATATATCGTTTGATTCTTTTGGACAAAGAGATATAAAAAAAAATTTACACGCGTATAAACTTGAACAGTTGATTTCCAAAATATTGTACATTCGATCTAAGAATTGTAACGTCTGTGGGATAAGTTGATTAAAATTGTATGTAAAGTTAGTTGTTGGGCACGAAGACTTCGTAGGACCTCATGCCGATCTCCTTGCCGGCGTACGGAATGTAGCACAGCTTGTGCGACGGCTGCAGTTTGCCGATGGTCTGCGTGCCTTTGTGATTCGCGCGGCCGATGTAGAGCGTCTCGCCCTGCTCGCTGGTTCCGCCCGGCAGCGCGTGGGCGGGGACGGTGCCTCTGGAGCCGGAGATCCAGCGTCCGGAGATGTTGCAGAGGACCTCGTAGTGCTTCACGGAGTGCTCGCGACCGCCCCAGGACACGTAGGCGCAGCGATGAGAGGGCACCAACTGGAGAGAAAGAGTTCATTGAGTTTGCATTCTGAGTCTGATGATTCAATAGGGAAAATATGTGGCATCGCTTTCAAAATATGAGTCCAGAATCTTACAATATGCCAAGAAAATGCATTTTGAAGAATTTATTCTTCAGTCGATATTATGAATCGCTTGACAAATAAAATCTTCTATGGCAATCATGGCAATGCTGAGAAAAATTTCCATCAAGTGCTATTAAATGTATCATTAAATGAGATTTTAATTGGCAATTTATCGCATTTCCACTATCGTCTCGTGATAATCGTAAGAAATATTTTGGCGCTCCGTTTGCAATTTCCCTCAGCTGTTTCCAGCAATAACCCGATAAATCCAAATTGATTAGCGCCACGATCCGGAAATCTATTATTTTTCCATTTTCAATCACTCTTGCCGATATCTTCGAAACGCAGGCTTCGTGATTAATATCCGTTGAAAAGTGTCGAGGAATTTGAATTGGCGTCTGCGCTGAGACATTTCTTGCGGCTCTGAGAAAATCACGCGAAAACTCACCTTTCCCGGGATCAATGCTCCGCCGTATCGGGCACGAGCGACGTAGAGCTTCTCTCCCCCAATTTCGTGGCCGCCGATCACGGCTCCCGGCGGCAACTGCCCCTCGCTGGCCGGCCGCCAGTATGGATTGCCGCTGAAGCCGCTCGCCACGTGGTTGATGGTCGATTGGACGTCGTTCAGCACGGGCACAGCGTTCTGCAGCTGCTGCGGAAGCATGTTCTGCATCTGGGACAAGTTGCCCAGGACGTTGCTGAACGTCGACGAAGTTCCGGGGCCCGGCGTCTGGATGTTCTGCTGCGGCTGCAGGACGTGCGTGACGGGCGGAGCGCTGTAGGGCGCGCTGGGCGGCATGGCAGTCGGGACTTGAGGGTAGATGGAGTTGTACGACGGCGGCGCCTGGCTCGTGGGATGCGCGACGATGGTCGGGACGATGTTCTGATGGGCAGGCGGCAGGGGAGGCGGTGGGGTGGGCTGAATGGGCCGCTCGGCGCCACCCGCGTTGAAGTTCCAGCCAACTGTGGAAAATTTGCAAGCATGCTGTAATACTCGATGAAAGTGGCTTAAGAGCATCAAACATAAAACAAATCATCGGATTTTCCGCCGAAAATCCACGATTGCACCACAAAGAATCACGCGGTGTTGTGATTTCGTCAGGAATATCGCGGATTACACAAAGCAATTCACTTTCTTGCCAATTCCAGCATGGAAAAGTAGTATGGAAATGCTAATTATACTCACTATTCGACATTTTATTTCACGCCAATATCACTTACACATGCGCACACAGATAAAAGCGTCGCTGATTTCAATGCCAAATGCCAAACCACTTGACGTTTTTTTTTCTCTATAAAAACCCCTTATTAATTATATGCCTCAGCTTGAGCACACAGGCATGGACAATTCGCGTTTCGCCACAAGACTGACGATGATTTCTTCTTGTGTGGTTCACATCGGGTCTACGCTCCCCACTATTTCACTCTCATTCACCACTACAGTCCAAGATTCACGCACTCCGAGGAAAAAAGAAAATCAATGGACTTTTTGGGCGCACGCGACCGAAAAGTAGACGCAACTGCGGCGCTTCCAATCAGCCGCCTCTGAGGCCACCGCGAAGCTTCTCTGTTTAATCCCAACAATGCGTGCCGACGACGCAATTTATTGATTTGTCGCCCGCCTATTCGTCACTTGATAGCTCTTGACGATCTACAGTGCGAGGCCACGATTTTGCGATCAGGCAATTAGTCGCCTTATCAGGCAGAGCTTATCAGAACCTCCCAAACAGCTGGGAGTTCATGAAAATTATCAAATTTGCTTCTGAATCTTCTCAATGTGTGAGTGACATTCATTCACACTTGCGAAAATGATTCATTTTAATGAATCTTAACGTATAGAGAGACATCTTCACTGAAGTATTTCATTGTACATAATAGCGGAGCTTTTCAGCGATCTTGGGTAGATAAATAAGAAGTTTATTTCCATGAATTTTCGATGCGCATCCCCATTTAAATCATAATTTTTCACGATTTTTACACTGTTCTCATTTTCCAAGCACTTCCAGTCAGTATCACATCTCATATGATTATGAATCTCGCAATGTTCAAGAACTCCTTCGCTCGCAATAAGATTGCCATTTGCCAAATTCATTATATTTTCAAATGAAAGCTTCTTTATCGCGACAATCGCTCTCACTTATTAATTCAGGAAGGAGTTTGGAGAAAGTGAGAGAAGATGCTAAAATAGATCAATATTCATCGGGAAATTTTAGCCTGTAAATTACTCAAAATGTGCTTCAGTGAGTAAATCGGAGAAATGTTCAGGAGAAAAAAAGCGCAAAGGATGCATTTTTGTAGCGCTACAAAGAGGGAAAATGTTAATTTTCTTGAAGCAAAAAGACATCCTTTTGATAGCTTTATTTTTGGAATTATTCAATCGGCAGAGAAGATGTTATGAAATTCATAAAAAATCGGTCTTTGAAAGTCAAGCGAATTTAATGAATAATTCCTGATTCATTTTAATATTTATGCCACTTTTCCTTATTCTCTCTTGAATTTAATTCGCCAGGAGATAAATTCTTGTCTGAATTGAGATGAGCGCAACAAATGACTTTCGGTGAGCAATCTTTTCTCAATATATGAGATTTTTTTGAGAATGTATATTCGCAGTCTGAGCTTTTTCGTTCGCATCGACTTGTTGTTTGTGTGTTTTTGCTATAATCATCAACCAGAATCATTAACGTGTGAGTTCACAGTGACCTCGCAGAATCAACTCCCCACCTCTGAAGATTACCGCCTGGCTTAGTCGACCGCAGAACTTGGCCGTGTTCAATTCGGGAGTGGTTAATAACATGCTATCAGCCGTGCTCGGGGCGCTTTTGGTGCTCCTCTTTGGGATTTATGTGCACTTTCGGCGACGCTACAGATTCTGGGAGAATCTGGGAGTGCCTTTTGTGGAGCCCACCTTCCCGCTGGGAAATGCCGGCGAATCTATAGCCGGCGGCAGACACTTCAGCTACGCCATGCAGAGTCTCTATCAGCGCACGAAGCGCCAGTACAAATACGTGGGCATTTACTTCTTCAGCTCACCTTGTCTCCTCGTGAACTGCCCCGAGATGGCCAAGACGATCCTCGTGAGGGACTTCAACGTCTTCATGGACAGGGGCGTGTATTACAATGAGAAGCTGGATCCCTTGTCGGCCAATCTGTTCTTCATGGAGGGCCAGAAGTGGAGGAATTTGCGCGCCAAGATCTCCCCAACATTCACAAGTGGGAAGCTCAAAGTCATGTTCCACACAGTGTCGGCGGTGACTGAGGAACTCCTGGGATTCATTGAGGAACGCCTGGAAGTGTCTGTTGGTGGGAAATGCCTGGAGATCAAGGATCTCATGTCCAGATTCACCACAGACATTATCGGCACCATTGCTTTCGGTATTAGCTGTGATAGTCTCCACAATCCACAGTCTGAGTTCAGGAAGATGGGCAACAGGATCGTCAACACCACCAAGAGCCGAGCCATTACCATGTTCCTGGGCATGGTCAATCGAGGCCTCGCTCGGAAACTCAATCTCAGATTCATAGACTCTTCAGACGCCTCATTCTTCATGGACGTCATCCGGCAGACCATCTCGCAGCGAGAACAGCAGGGCACGAAGAGGAACGACTTCATGGACCTCATGCTTCAGCTGAAGAACAAAGGCAAACTGGACGATGACGGTGAGGAGACGGGAGGGCTGTCTTTTGAGGAAATTGCCGCTCAGTGCTGGATTTTCTACTTTGCCGGCTTCGAGACATCCTCAACCACCATAACAGTTGCCCTGCATCAGCTCTCGCAGCATCAGGACTTCCAGGAACGTGCCAGAGAGGAAGTGGAACGTGTTCTGGAAAAGTACGGCGGAAAATTCACGTACGAAGCTGTGATGGAAATGGAGTTCCTCGGTCAGATTGTAAATGGTGAGTAACTCAGATAAACGCAATGGTGATATATTACGCGTCAGCGGACAGAGATAGGAAGAAAACTGAAACACAGTAGATTGCTTATCAGCAAGTTTCACTGATAAAAGCTCTTTATCGAGCGCTAGTCTCAATAACTTCACAAGATAGACTTTGAAAAGATTGTGGGCGGAGCGTAGAAATGGGCGGAGTTTCTGATATTTCTCTATTCATCATTATTCCAAATTGATTCCAATTTAATATTGAAGAATTGAGTTCAGAGACATCTGCTTATTCTTCTGTGTGTTTTGAGGCATTTCCGAACTTTATACTCAATCTTATCAGCTCTTTTGCCATATAAAATGCCTGGATGGCATAATAAATTCTGCGAAAGTGCCAATCAATGTTAGTTGCCATGTCCCAAATTTCTTTCTTCATCCCTTCATAAGAATAACTTGGCAACCAATGGCCTTCCTAATCCGCCATTCATGCCTTTTTTGCGCGCTACGAAATGGGAATCTAGAAGCGTGGCGATTATGTATTCTGCTGTGTGTCCCTTAATTCGCTCATACATTAATTATGTGATTTAATTACCGTAATAAATCGACATGTCGTAATTTATCAGTGCTGTGCACGCGCGCCACGAATTCCGCAACGTTCGGCAATTTCTCACTCGCAATGTTTGCTTCTTTTCCCTTTTTTTTATGGACCCACCCAGAGACGCTGCGGCTTTTCCCACCGGTCGGAACGATTCACCGTATCTCAAATCAGGAGTATCGCCTCCCCAGCGGCGCCGTCATGCCCAGAGGCACATTCGTCGTCATCCCCAATATGGCCTATCAGTACGACGAGGAAATCTTCCCCGACGCCCAGCGCTTCGATCCAGACAGATTTCGGGACGAGGCCCGGGGCGAGCGCCACAATTTCGCCTTCATCCCCTTCGGCGAGGGTCCCAGAATCTGCGTGGGGATGCGATTTGGGTTGCTCGTGGTGAGAATCGCCCTGGCGCAAATCCTCAGGCAATACAGACTCACGCTCAATGAGAAAACTAGTGCCGAATTGGAAATTAATAGCACGGCTTTCGTGCACACGCCCAAGAACGACATCTGGCTCAATCTTGAGGCCATTCATTAGGCGGCGGAATGAGGAGAAAGGCAGACGAACAAATCCCCAAATTTGTCCAATAAAAGCTCAATTGGGGCAGGAGAAGACAATGGGAGTTTTAGTGACTTTTAATGACACACTTTTCCAGCGCGTTTTTGTCTTTGATGCATTGCAAATCAAACAGTTGAGGTTTCATTCGGGAATTCTAGCTTGAGCAAATAGAAAGTTACAGCAACACATTTAATATGCATTTCTGCTTTTTGCAATGCAATATGTTCTTTACTCAGTATTTCTTGATTCTGAGAAAACTGGGGGAATTTCCACGGACTGTCAAAGACTCATAAAGTTAAATTTTGTGCTTTCTTTACTTTTCTGAGAAATGCATTTTATGTACAAGTACTCGAAATAATAGTTTAACAAAATATTCTCACGACTTTAAGTCATTTGCCAGTGACAAGACAATTTTCGATTGATGACTAAAAGTAGAAAAAAAAGATTTCAGAATCCATCAAAAGCTTGCGTGAGCAAAGAGAAGCAAATGTGCTTTTGTATTGGATGTAATTTTCGCGTAAACTGTGTATGAAAGCAGCGTGAACAAGCGTGAAAATGCGAAATATGAATTGATGTTAGTGAACAAACACGTCGCCACAATCATGTGAACATCGCCCCGGAGTCACTCGGTTTAGAACAGCTGAATCAGTTCTAGAGTGTCTTTTGTGGCGGTGAGACATCATTTCGAGCAATTTGGCTTATCATTTAATCAAACAAATTAACGATGAGTGGATTTGATATTCTTCTACTTCTTGTGGCGGTGATTTTCCTCGGCGTTTCATATTTTAAGCGAAAGTATCGGTATTGGGAAGATCGCGGAGTGCCTTACATAAAGCCCATCTTCCCCAAAGGAAATATCGGAACAATGGGAAAGACTGACCACTTCTTTGAACTCTCCAAAAAGTTCTACCTTGAACTCAAAGGAGAGGGCAGATTAATTGGTGGAATATACTTAGTTGTGCGACCTGCGGCTCTAACACTGGACTTGGACTTTGTGAAAACAGTGCTTGTGAAGGATTTCCAATACTTTCACGATCGCGGCTTGTATGTGAACGAACGAGATGATCCGCTTTCTGGTCATTTACTCACAATTGAAGGCGAAAGATGGAAGAATTTGCGATCGAAATTGTCACCGACCTTCACGAGTGGCAAAATGAAGCTCATGTTTCCTATTATGATGGACATCTCGGAGAAGTTTATCACACGCTTGAATGAGGAACTTGTGGAAAACAGTAATTTAGAGCTCGGAGATTACTTATCTCGCTTCACAATTGACATAATTGGTAGCTGTGCTTTCGGCCTGGATTGCAACAGTCTCAATGATCCAGACGCAGAGTTTCTCGCGATGGGAAAGAAAGCTTTGACTAATTCGGGCGGTCGAGCAAGAGCTGCAAAGAGACTGTTTATCACGAGTTTCAGAGGATTGTCGAAGCTTTTGCGACTGCAATTGACTAGGAAAGATATAACAGATTTTTACACGAGAATTGTGAAAGAAACCGTGGCTTATCGTGAGAATGAGAACGTCAAGAGGGATGATTTCTTGAATCTCTTGATACAGTTGAAGAACAAAGGAAAACTCGATGACGACCCAGGAAAAGACATCGGGAAAATCACTCTTAATGAAGTCATTTCGAATGCTTTTCTCTTCCTCTTGGCCGGTTTCGAAACCTCTTCGACCACCATGAAGTTCTGCCTGCTGGAATTGGCCAATGCAATTGAGATACAAGATCGTCTTCGCGAAGAGATAAAGACAGTTCTCGAGCGATACGACAACAAGATTACTTACGAGGCCTTATCAGAGATGAAATATTTAGATCAAGTAATTAATGGTGAGTCAGCGTGATTCGTAAGAATTGTTGAGTAAATATTGTGTAAACGATGTAAATGAACACTTATTTTCCGTTTGCAGAAACACTCAGAAAGCATCCAGTTGGAGGACTTCTGGTTCGATCCCTGAAGGATGACTACAAAGTCCCAAAGATGGATGTTGTTTTGGAGAAGGGAACTCAGCTGTTTATCCCCGTTTTGGCCATCCATCACGATCCAGACATTTATCCTGATCCTGATAAGTTCGATCCTGAGCGATTCACACCCGAAGCTGTGAAATCTCGCCATCCTTACGCCTTCCTGGCATTCGGCGAGGGTCCGAGGAATTGCATAGGCATGAGATTTGGGATGATGCAGACGAAGATTGGGATCAGTTGTCTCCTGATGAACTACAAGTTCTCGCCCTGCGCCAAGACTAAATATCCCATTGAGTATATGAAATCCAGTGCCTTGTTGTCTCCCATCGGCGATTGTTGGTTCAAAGTGGATAAAATTGTAGAATAATTAAGAAGTATGAATGAAAAGGGTTTTTTTTAGTATTCTCAACTGCGCATATATCAATTGCATATAATCGCAGTAATAAATTAAGCGAAAAGCTGTGTGTGATTAGATATAATTTCACTGGAACACATTGATAATTTTTTGTACAAATAAAGTCTCAAAATTACCAGGGAGATTGAAAATCCGGTTCTTTTAATCAGTTTCTTGAGATATTTCGTGGTTGTTGGACGGAATTCGTAGAACTGAATTTTGCTTATCTGCAGCCAAGAATGGCAATTTTTGACATCTTTTTCTTTGTTGTCTCAGTGATCTTCCTTGGCATTTGCTATGTGAAGAAAAAGTACCGATATTGGGAAGAACGCGGTGTGCCGTTCATAAAGCCGTCGTTTCCTAAAGGGAATCTCGTCACTGTGGGAAGAACTGAGCAATTCTCTTACATGATGAGGAGATTCTACTTTGAGCTCAAAGATCAAGGCTCTCCGATTGGTGGAATATACTTCTCTGTGAAACCTGTGGCTTTGGCTTTGGATTTGGATTTTATCAAGACAATTCTCATCAAAGATTTCCAGCACTTTCACGACAGAGGATTCTACAATGACAGGAATGATCCCTTGTCCGATCACATGCTAGTGATGGAAGGCGAAAGATGGAAGAATTTGCGGACTAAGCTGAGCCCAGCTTTCACAACTGGCAAACTAAAGCTAATGTTTCCGATAATTAAGGACATCTCAGCCAAACTTGTTGCCTGTGTGGAAAGGGAAATCGTGAAAGATGGTGATATTGATCTTGACACTTACATGTCGCGCTTCTCAATCGATGTCATCGGAAGTTGCGCCTTTGGACTGGAATGCAACAGTCTCAATGATCCAGACACGGAATTTTATCGAATGGGAAGGAAGGCTTTCTATGAAACAGGACATCAAGCTTTCAAGCGATGGTTTGCAACTACTTTCAAAAGCCTCGCTACATTTTTACGCTTCAGAGTCACAAGGAAAGATGTTGCAGAATTCTATACGGGAATAGTAAAGAAAACTGTGTCTTACAGGGAAAGTGAGAATGTTGAGAGGAATGATTTTATGAATCTGCTGATTCAACTAAAGAACAAAGGTACGTGAAGTGCAAAATCCAGATATTACAAACAAGTATTCCAGTGTCGTTTCGGTTATAGGAAAGCTCGATGACGATCCAGGAAAGAGTGTCGGAAAAATCACTCTTAATGAAGTCATTGCCAATGCTTTTCTCTTCCTTGTTGCTGGCTTCGAAACATCTTCCATGACCATGAAGTGCTGCTTGCTCGAGTTAGCGCACGAAATTAAGATTCAGGGTCGCCTTCGTGAAGAGATAAGCTCAGTTCTTAGACGATACGGTAATAAAATCACTTATGAGGCTTTATCAGAGATGAAGTACTTAGATCAAGTTATTTACGGTATGTTTGCAAAAAAGACTATTTTAAGAATACGCGTAGTAAATGCTCCTTAACCTTGCAGAAACACTGCGAAAGCATCCAGTTGCAGGAACTCTTGCTCGCTGCCTTGAGACTGACTATAAAGTCCCGAAGACGGATGTGGTTTTGGAGAAGGGAACTCATGTGTTTATTCCAATTATGGGCATTCATCGCAATCCTGATTTCTTCCCAGATCCCGATAAGTTCGATCCCGACCGCTTCACTCCTGAGGCTATAAAGTCCCGCCATCCTTGTGCTTATCTGGCCTTCGGAGACGGACCGAGGAATTGCATAGGCATGAGATTTGGGATGATGCAGACTAAGATTGCCATCAGTGGTCTTCTGATGAACTACAAGTTTTCTCCCTGCGACAAGACAAACTTCCCTGTCAAGTATGATCCTCCGAGTCGCCTTCTAACACTCCTCGGCGGATGTTGGCTGAAGGTGGAAAAGCTCTAGAAAAGAGTTGGGACAATTCGCCGGAAAATAGACTATAAGGTGAAAGCTGACGATGCACATTTGTATGGATGTAAGTTGCATTCTTTTTGTCGCGCTCAGAGCAGTTGAATCAGTCTGTAAAAGTGCTTGGTTGAGAACAGACGCTTAACTTTAACATCTGTTATCAAAGAATAAATCATGGGTGGCTTAGAATTCGTTGTTCTCTTTATATCAGTGATATTCTTCGTATTTTGTTATGTAAAGCGAAAGTATCGCTATTGGGAAGATTTTGGAGTGCCTTTCATTGAACCCACTTTTCCAAAAGGCAATGTTGGAACTGCTGGGAAAACTGAGCATTTATTTGAACTTATTAAAAAGTTCTACAATTGTCTGAAAGGAAAAGGAATGCCAATAGGTGGAATGTATCTAACCATTAAACCAGCAGCGATAGCTTTGGACTTGGACTTCGTGAAAACGGTGCTTGTGAAGGACTTTAATTATTTCCACGATCGCGGCTTCTATGTGAATGAACGAGATGATCCTCTCACCGCCCATTTAGTCGCTATCGAAGGGGACAGATGGAGAGATTTGCGAACCAAGCTCACTCCAGCTTTCAGCAGTGGCAAAATAAAGCTCATGTTCCCAATAGTGATGAATATATCAGAGAAGTTTATATCGCGTGTAAATTGCGATCTCGCCAATAACACTGACTTAGAACTTGGAGACTACTTATCTCGCTTCACAGTAGATGTGATTGGAAGTTGTGCATTTGGCTTGGATTGCAATGGTATTGACAATTCGAATACCGAGTTTCACATAATGGGAAAGAAAGTTTTCAATCGATCTGGTTCAGAACTGCGGCGTTTGTTTGTCGTGAATTTCCAGCGCTTGGCTAGATTTTTACGATTTCGAATGATAAGTAAAGATATCTCGGAATTCTATACAAGAATTGTTACAGAAACTGTAGCTCTTCGTGAGAAGGAAAACATTAAGAGGAATGATTTTCTAAATCTCCTTATTCAACTGAAAAATAAAGGTAAGCACTTAACACTGTATCTGATCATGTTATAAAATTTTATGGATTTAATTGCCTCAATTATCGATTTTTTTTGTTCCTTTTTTTAAGGGCAATTGGATGATGACTCGGGAAAAAATGACGGAAAAATTACTCTTAATGAAGTTGTTGCTAATGCTTTTCTATTCCTTGTTGCTGGCTTCGAAACGTCTTCAACCACCATGCAATTCTGCCTGCTGGAATTGGCCAATGCAATTGAGATACAAGATCGTCTTCGCGAAGAGATAAAGACAGTTCTCGAGCGATACGACAACAAAATTACTTACGAGGCCTTATCAGAGATGAAATATTTAGATCAAGTAATTAATGGTGAGTCATTCAGATAATCTTTGTTGAAAGAACTGCGAAATTGCCCTCTGTTTTCAGAGACTTTGCGAAAGCATCCAGTTGCAGGAATTTTGTCCCGATCCATAAAGAATGACTACAAAGTGCCTAATACAGAAGTAATCCTGGAGAAGGGAAATCAAATATTCATCCCCGTCTTGGCTATTCATCACGATCCAGACATTTATCCTGATCCTGATAAGTTCGATCCTGAGCGATTCACACCCGAAGCTGTGAAATCTCGCCATCCTTACGCCTTCCTGGCCTTCGGCGAGGGTCCGAGGAATTGCATAGGCATGAGATTTGGGATGATGCAGACGAAGATTGGGATCAGTTGTCTCCTGATGAACTACAAGTTCTCTCCCTGCGCCAAGACTAAATATCCCATCGAGTATGATAAGACCATCTCACTCCTCTCACCTGATGGCGGTTGCTGGCTCAGAATGGAAGCATGTTAGAGCACTTTGTGGCTGCGGTTAAGCTATTAGAGTGTTTTTGCCGGGTGTCGCGAGAGCAAGAGATTTTATGTATAAAAGCGCAATGCGTTTAGGGCTCGACTCAGTTTGTTAAACTGACCATCGAAAATTATAATAAAGCTGTGAAGGGTTGTGTGTTGTGATGCTCTGGTGGTACATCTGACGCTTCAAATTCACTTACTGGGCACGTCGAGGGGTGCTTCACTTGGCGCCTAGTTTCCCCTTCGGGAGCATGCGAGAAGTGTGTCGGACGATGCACTCGACGGCGTTAATGAAGTGCATTTATGAGCGTTTTCGCAGCAATGGTGAGTCATTTGTTGGGGTCTTTTACTTCACTCGTCCTGTGGCTCTTGTCACAGATTTTAACTTGGCCCGGGATGTCCTTGTGCGGAAATTTGAGTACTTTAATGACCGTGGGGTGTATTGCAATGAGCAAGATGATACGCTCTCGGCACACCTTTTCTCGTTGGCTGGCGGGAAATGCGACGTGCCGTGTCGCCTCAGTTCTCGCCAGGTCGCATAAGATCATTCCTCGAGGGTATTTGGACAGTCGCCTCACGTCTTCGGGTCTGCATTGACGCAAAAATCTCCCACCAATCCATCATCAATGTGAGCGATTTATCCGCAAGGTACATCATCGACACCACAGGGAATTGTGTCTTTGGGATCAACTCCAAGGCACTTGACGAGGATGACTCATTCCTACGCAGTGTAGCTGAGAAAATCTTCACAATGACTCGCGTCAAGATGCTGCGGCATCTCTTCATGCAGTCCTTCGGGGATATTGCGAGGCTGTTTCGAATGAGAATGACAAAGAGAGAAGTTGAAGAGGTTTTTATATCACGGAATTGCACGCAACTACACAGCGATAGTTTCATGCAACTTAAGCAGAAGTTGCAGAAGGAAGGGAAACTGACAGAGAGTCAAGTTGTGACCCAAGCATTCATTTTCTTAGTGGTCGGTTTCGAGACATCGGCTATCCATCAATCCAGGACGACTTGAGGAATGAAGTTGTGCTGCAAGGCAGTGAATTATCCTGGAATGCAATCAATCGAATGACTCTCCTTAATGCAGTTGTAAATGGGAAGAAACTCAGCCACTGTTCCACTTTAATTACTCATAAAGAAAACTTTTTGAATTATTTCAAAGAAATACAGCTTTCAACTTCTCCTCATGAATAATTCCTTTTGCCCTTCCTTCTCTCCATTTTATGTGATTTTCTGTGAGCGCAGAAACATTGCGAAAGTATTCGCCAGGCGGGAATTTCCTGTGAATGGCCAAGCAGGACTTTGAAGTGGCCGGAAGAGTTATTGAGCGAGACACTCTCGTCATCATTCCACTCTATGGCGTCCACAGGGACAATCGCTTCCATCCAGATTCTGAGCAGTTTAATTCCCTCAGGCCGGAACTCGCTCGTCACTCGTGCACTTTTATGCCATTTGGCGATGGACCAAGACACTGCATTGGCCGTCGATTTGCCCTCCAGCAGATCAAATTGGTCATTTCCGTGCTTCTGAGCCACTACAAATTCTCCCCGTCACCAGACACTCGCTACAACGTGGAATTGGCCAAAAACACTGTTCTATTCGCCCCTCACAAGCCCATCCGACTCACCATTGATCACCTCAGACGAGCGTCATTATCGGCATCTGAGACAGCAGAAAAGTTGGCGTGACAAATTGGATCCCCGGCCAAATGATGTTATTCCGCCGGAGAATCGTGAAATAAGTCAATTTCATTTGCAAGCCAAACACACACAATACTTATCTGTGCCATCACATCTACCCGAAATTGGGACTGTATTGACACTCTATATCTCATGCTACAATCATTCTGCATGTGCCGAGATAGACTGGAATTCCTTATGGCAAATGGACATCAATCGTGGGTGAATTTTCAGAATTTTCACATATGATACAAGTTTAAATAAATGCATCGAGCGATCCTACAATGTATTTCCTTCCAATACACCAGAAGGATTCGAGGGGATTACATACATATTAAAGCCACCCAAAAACTGATACATGTAAACAAATATGCTTCATCATTTTCAATTGAAATTGTTTGTATTTCCTCTGCCTGGCGATGGAGCTTTTAATGAATTTAAAAAAAAACCCCTTCAAAACATTCCAACACATTCGAATTGTGATTGATTCTGTTTTTGGAGCAAAATACGTGGGAAATACACGACCAAAACACGTGTGTAAAATGCCGAAACCCCATCAATATTGAATCGCACTACTGCAGATGAATATACTACTAAAATACTAGATGTTATTGATTCTCTCCATGCTAAAGTGCTTTCACACGCGCGCATTGGATCTGCTGGCAAAATTTGCAGACTCTTTTGAGGCTTCTTATAATGCCTTACAATCAGGTAAATTTATGGAGTTTTCTGAAAGCAAACTCTTTCACAGACACACCATAAACAGATTATTTTTTATCTCTGAAAATGAGTCAAAAGAGATCTTATATCTCTCTTCAGCACTATTTTTTTGGTCAGAATCTTGAACTCAGTATGACTGATTATAGAAGAGAATTTACATAACTAAAAAATGTGTTTTGTTTGCAGCTTTATGTGGAGATAAGGTAAAGATCTTTGGGAAGTTTCCTATAAAAAGACAAGCGAAATTACAAAACCGCTCAGAATTTTGCGAATCGTCAAAGTGTTTAAAGGTTTAATCATGGAGTGGTTGGACTTAATTTCTGGCATTGTGATCGCTTTCACGATTTTCTATTTCTACGTGAAGCACAAGCAATCTTATTGGGAACGCGAAAAAGTGCCCTTCATCAAGCCAATGTTCTTCCTGGGCATTTCTGGTGCAGGTTTAGTGAATCGAATCCCGCTCAAAGACCGATTTCACAAAGTGTATAAGGATCTAAAGGCGAAATCCAACAAGTTTGGAGGACTCTACATGTTCATTTCTCCAGCCATGATTTTCGTTGACATTGACCTTGTTAAGTCTGTTCTGATAAGAGATTTTCACCACTTCGAAGACCGCGGATTCTACGTGAACGAGAAAAGCGATCCGCTTTCCGCACATTTGTTTTCACTCTCTGGAAATACATGGAGGAGTTTGAGGGCAAAACTCACTCCAACATTCACCAGTGGTCGAATGAAGACGATGTTCCCAATCATTGCCGGCATATCTCAAGAGCTTCAGAAGGTTTTCCTCGAGGAAGCAGCGAAAGATAGTTCAATAGAAGTGAAGAATCTTCTCGCCAGATTCAATACAGATGTGATTGGGAATTGCGCCTTTGGACTCGAGTGCAATAGCCTTAAGGATCCGAAAACTGAGTTTCGACGATACGGAATAATGGCTATCAGAAGAAATACCTTCGATGGTCTCAAGCAGGCCTTTTTACTGGCATTCCCGAAAGTCGGGAAATTCTTCGACATGATGCTCACGAATCCTGAAGTTGCATCTTTCTACATTCGAGTTGTCCGCGAAACAGTGGAACATCGTGAGAAGAATAACATACAGAGAAATGATTTCATGAACCTTCTAATAGGTCTAAAGAACAGTGAAAGTGAGAGTGAACGATTGACTGTTGTCGAATTGGCAGCTCAATCATTCATGTTCTTCTTGGCTGGATTTGAAACCTCTTCCACTGCAATGATGTACTGTCTTTACGAATTGGCTCTGAATCCAGATATTCAGGAGAAAACCCGAGAACACATCAATCAAGTTCTGCAAAAGCACAACAACGAATTCACTTACGAGGCGATGATGGATATGACTTACCTGGAGCAGGTCGTGAACGGTGAGAAGATGAGGGTTAAATTTACAAATCGATATGTGAAGCATTTTCCTTTTTCAGAAACGCTGCGAAAGTATCCGTTCGTCACGAATCTTCTGCGAATTTGCACGAAAGATTACCAGATCCCGAATAGTAAGGTCACAATCAAGAAGGGCACCAGAATATTCGTCCCGATTTATGGACTACATCATGATCCTGAATACTATCCCAATCCGGATAAATTCGACCCTGAGAGATTTACCAAGGAAGCTATAGCATCACGACCTCAATGCACTTACATTCCTTTCGGCGATGGCCCAAGAGTCTGTATTGGAATGCGCTTCGGATTGATGCAAGTCCGCATTGGCTTAGCGGCTATTCTGCAGATTCTTAAATTCTCTCCTTGCGCCAAAACCGATATTCCTCTCACAGGATTCTCCCTAACACAACCTTTGTTAAATCTTATAAATGGAATTCATTTGAAAGTAGAAAGACTATGAAAAAACCAAATTAAAAGGTACTGTAAATCATCTCTGGAGTGAAGCAATATCAGAGACATTATAAAGGTGATACAAAAAAATTTGCGTCATTTCTTTACCTCTGTATTGGTGGTATCTATTTTTACGCGGCACTTGAAACATCCAAATAAGACACTCCAAAACACTCCGCTACGTCGCATTGGTTCAGTTTCTTATAAAAAGTCGCGTGGAAAACACGAAGTGTGCAGATCTTTGTGAATATTCAGTGCGAGCATTTGAGAAATTCAGTTATCACATAAGTTATAATGGCTTGTCTAGACGTTATCTTTGCCATAATGGGCATTTTCGCTGCTTTCTACTTCTACGTGAAGCACAAACAATCTTACTGGGAGCGTGTGGGAGTGCCTTTTGCGAAGCCCCAATTCTTCTTCGGATCCGCCGGCGGAGGCTTCACCGATCGACTGTCTTTCAAAGAACGATTCCATAAAATCTACAAAACTATCAAGAGCAAAGGCAAATTCGGCGGATTTTATATGTTCACGTCTCCCGCTGTCATGTTCACCGATGCTGAGCTTGTGAAAGCTGTTCTCGTCAAAGACTTTCAACACTTTGAAGATCGTGGATTCTATCACAATGAGAAAGTTGATCCTCTATCTGCACACTTGGTTTCCTTAGCTGGAAATAAGTGGAAGAACTTAAGGGCTAAAATCTCCCCAACATTCACCAGTGGCCGAATGAAGATGATGTTCCCGATCATTTGCGAAATATCCAAGGAGTTCGAGAAGACATTCCAGACGGAAGCCGCCAAAGACAGCACAGTCGAGATAAAAGATCTTCTGGCCAGATTCACGACTGACGTCATTGGGAATTGCGCATTTGGTCTGGAGTGCAACAGTTTGAAGGATCCGGACACTGAATTCCGCGAATATGGTTCATTGGTTTTCAAAAGAACACCATTAGAAGGACTAAAGCAGACTTTCTTGTTGACATTCCCTAAAATTGGCGAATTCTTCAACATGAAGTTTATGAATCCCAAAGTCACATCCTTTTACATGGGAGTCGTTCAGAAAACAGTGGAACATCGTGAGAAAAACAATGTGCAACGGAATGATTTTATGAACCTCATGATTGGCCTAAAGAACAGTCAAAATGAGAGCGAAAGGATAACACAGAATGAATTGGCAGCTCAATCATTCATATTTTTCATTGCTGGATTCGAAACATCATCGACTGTAACGATGTACTGTCTTTACGAATTGGCTCTGAATCCAGACATTCAGGAGAAAACGCGAGAACACATCAATCAAGTTCTGCAAAAGCACAATAACGAATTCACTTACGAGGCGATGATGGACATGACGTACTTGGAACAAGTCGTGAACGGTGAGAAATTGGGGGTGTATGAATTTATAGATTTTATTTAATACTATATTATCTTTCCTTCAGAAACAATGAGGAAGTATCCCGTGGTGACTAACTTGCTAAGAATTTGCACAAAGGACTATCAAATTCCAGACAGTGATGTCGTTATTCAGAAAGGAACTAGAACATTTGTCTTCACCTATGGTCTCCATCATGACCCTGACTACTATCCAAACCCGGATAAGTTCGATCCTGAGAGATTTACCAAGGAAGCCATAGCGTCGCGTCACCCATATTCTTACATACCTTTTGGCGAGGGTCCCAGAATCTGTTTGGGAATGCGCTTTGGCATGATGCAAGTTCGTATTGGACTTGTGGCTCTTCTGCAATCTCTTAAATTCTCTCCTTGTGCCAAAACTGACATCCCGCCCAAAGGTTTCCCAGCCACAATTCCTATGCTGACCCTCGAACATGGAATGCATCTGACAGTGGAGAAAATATAGACTTAATATGCTTCATCATCGTGAATGAAATGTGTTAGTATCACTTCAGCACTCAAACTACACACATCTGAAATCGACCATCCAATTCTCTCCCATACAATCATTCACACTACGAGATGCTTGATAAAATTGATTCAGTCTCTCATAAAAAGCTGCGCGAAACAGTGGAACTTCTCAGAGTGTAGCGGAAGTTCAATGGAAAATATTTATACAAAGTTTTTTTCCACAATAAAGTGCTCATTGGTGACTTAAAACAAACGTTAATAATCATGGAGTGGCTGGATACAATTTTTACCATTCTCGCTGTTATTGCTGCCTTCTATTTCTACATATCGCACAAGCAATCCTTCTGGGAGCGAGAAAATGTGCCCTTCGTTAAGCCTGTTTTCCTCTTAGGAACACCAGGTGAAGGCTTATTGCAGCGCGTCTCGTTTCGAGATCGATTCCACAAAGTTTATAAAGAATTGAAGCCCAAAGGCAAGTTTGGCGGACTCTACATGTTTACTTCACCTGCCATGATGATAATCGATGTCGATCTTGTCAAGGCTGTCCTGATTAAAGACTTTCATCACTTCGAAGACCGTGGATTTTACGTGAACGAGAAAAGCGATCCACTATCGGCACATCTGTTTTCATTAGTCGGAAGCAAATGGAAGAATTTGAGGGCAAAACTAACTCCAACATTCACCAGTGGCCGAATGAAGATGATGTTCCCAATCATTGCTGGCATTTCCAAAGAGTTTGTGAGGGTCTTTCAGGAAAAAGCCGCGAAAGACAGTGTAGTCGAAGTCAAGGATCTCCTAGCTAGATTCACGACAGACGTCATTGGCAACTGTGCTTTCGGACTCGAGTGTAACAGTCTCAAGGACCCAAATGCGGAATTTCGTCAATATGGAATATTAGCCTTCAGAAGAACACCAATTGAGGGTCTGAAGCAGGTTTTTCTATTGACATTCCCGAAGATCGGAAAATTCTTCGACATGATGTTCAACAATCCTAAAGTTGCATCCTTTTACATGAAAGTCGTTCAGGACACAGTGAGTCACCGAGAGAAAAACAATGTTGAAAGAAACGATTTCATGAACCTCTTAATAGGGCTTAAGAATAATCAAAGTGAGAGTGAGAAGTTAACTTTGAATGAAGTTGCAGCGCAAGCATTTATATTCTTCTTGGCTGGATTTGAAACTTCCTCAACAACTATGATGTTTTGTCTTTACGAATTGGCTCTGAATCCAGACATTCAGGAGAAAACCCGAGAACACATTAATCAAGTTCTGCAAAAGCACAACAACGAATTCACTTACGAGGCGATGATGGATATGACTTACCTTGAGCAGGTCGTCAATGGTAAGAAATGTATTTAAAGTAACTTTTCGGAAATAATAAACTTTATATCTTTTCAGAAACATTGCGAAAGTATCCCATTGTGACCAATCTCTTGAGGAATTGCACCAAAGACTACGAAATACCAAATAGTAAGGTCACAATCAGGAAGGGCACAAGGATATTCATCCCGATTTATGGACTTCATCATGATTCTGATTACTATCCAAACCCGGATAAATTCGACCCTGAGAGATTTACCAAGGAAGCTATAGCATCACGACCTCAATGCACTTACATTCCTTTTGGTGACGGTCCTAGAAATTGCATAGGAATGCGTTTTGGATTAATGCAAGCTCGCATTGGCTTAGCGGCTATTCTGCAAACACTTAAATTCTCTCCGTGCGCCAAAACTGATATTCCTCTCAAAGGATTCCCACCGACTTTGCCTTTGTTGGTGCTTGAGAAGGGAGTTCATTTGAAAGTGGAAAAAGTGTAATTCTTTATCTAATTCAGATGGTTTTTTTTTTAATAATTACTGTTCAGTAGGCGAGTAAAGTCAAGGAAAATTGAGTTATGCTGTCGTCTAATCAATTTATCCGAGTGTAGTGAAGAACGTGAAGCTAAAAATTTGCTGTTTCACTGTAATTCAGATGTATTGGTAAATTTCATTTGATGTTGGGGAGAATAAAATGACTGTGGAGCCCCTCCAAAATTCTTCCACTCATTCGTATTCGTTGTACACGTATACAACATATACACACGTTCATTCAAATGTAGAAGCAATTTTCGGCGTCTAAAAATAGCATGGCTATCGTCACACATGAAACGCGCAGTTGTCCACGATTTCTTATCGAGGAACGACGCTTCGAGTGATTTTCGTAGCAAACGTCAGTATTCAATAGTAATTAAAAACTCTCTAGTGGGAATCATGGAGTGGTTGGACATAATCTTTACTATCCAGGGCGTTATCGCTGTCCTTTACTTCTACGTGAAGTACAAGCAATCTTACTGGGAACGCGAAAAAGTGCCTTATGTCAAACCCATGTTTCTCTTGGGTTTTGCCGGCGGAGGCTTCACCGACAAAAGACCACTCAAAGATCGACTTCACAGTGTCTACAAAGAACTGAAGGCGAAAGGGAAGTTCGGAGGACTCTATATGTTCACGTCTCCCACTGTCATGTTCACCGATGCTGAGCTTGTGAAAGCTGTTCTCATCAAAGACTTTCAATACTTCGATGACCGTGGAATCTACATTAATGAAGAGAAAGATCCCTTATCAGCACATCTTCTTTCTCTAAGCGGAAGCAAATGGAAGAACTTGAGGGCTAAAATCTCCCCAACATTCACCAGTGGCCGAATGAAGATGATGTTCCCGATCATTTGCGAAATATCCAAGGAGTTCGAGAAGACATTCCAGACGGAAGCCGCCAAGGACAGTACAGTCGAGATAAAAGATCTTTTGGCCAGATTCACGACTGACGTCATTGGGAATTGCGCATTTGGTCTGGAGTGCAACAGTTTGAAGGATCCGGACACTGAATTTCGCAAGTACGGAGCTTTTGCCTTCAGCAAAAAGGGTCATCACTCTTTCAGGCACGCCTTCTTGTTCACCTTCCCGAAAATTGGGAAGTTTTTCAATATGATGTTCACAAATCCGATACTAGCCGAATTTTATCTACGGATAGTTCGTGAAACTGTCGACTTCCGAGAGAAGAATAATGTAACACGAAATGATTTCATGAACCTTCTAATTGGCCTTAAGAACAGCCAAGACGAGACCGAGAAAATTACGTTCAATGAATTGGCAGCGCAAGCATTTATATTCTTTCTGGCTGGATTTGAAACTTCCTCAACAACTATGATGTTTTGTCTTTACGAATTGGCTCTGAATCCAGACATTCAGGAGAAAACCCGAGAACACATCAATCAAGTTCTGCAAAAGCACAACAACGAATTCACCTACGAGGCGATGATGGACATGACTTACCTTGATCAAGTTATCAATGGTGAGTTCCTGAAAACAATCCATGGTGACGAAGTGACTTAATCAATATTGATTTCAGAAACAATGAGGAAGTATCCTATATTGACCAATATAATGAGGAATTGTTCGCAAGACTACAAGATACCGGACAGTAATGTGGTGTTGAAGAAGGGTCTGAGAGTATTCATTCCTGTCTACGGTCTTCATCACGATCCCGAATATTATCCAAATCCTGACAAATTCGATCCTGAGAGATTCACCAAGGAAGCTATAGCTTCACGGCCACAATGCGCTTTTATTCCTTTTGGCGAAGGACCCAAAATCTGTATTGGAATACGATTCGGCATGATGCAAATGCGTGTTGGGCTCGTGGCTCTTCTGCAGAGTCTGAAATTCTCTCCTTGCGCTGAAACCGAAATTCCTATTAAAGGATTTTCAAGGCACGCTCAATTTTTGACGCTGGACAAAGGAATTCAATTGAAAGTCGAGCGAATGTAATTACTTTTTGCCTCTTCCACTCGTCCCTCAGGAAAATCAATAAAATTAATTAAAGTGGCAAGAGCGAGAGAATCAACAGTTTAGATGTGATGACTAATCGCGAAATGCACAATAAAGCATTGTGCCTAATTCTACAATTAGGAACAAAATGATTTATTTACTATATGATGTACTTTGTCTGTTCTCAATTGATAATGGATATATTGCAAATTTTCCTATCATCGTGATAGAGATAATTATTAGTTTCTTATCTGCTTAAGCAACAAATCCAATTTTAGGCAGAATTAAATTGATACTTAAGATTAAAAAGATTGAATGTATTTTTACACACGCCTTTGTAGACTTTATTTTGTATCCCGAACATTAAAATCTTCTTTTCACATTTCGCGCACTTTTTTATAAATTCATTAGGAAAATTCTCGTGATGCGATCATAACTTTTTTTTTTACTTTAAAGTGTTGAAACAATATTATCGTGAGAAAAGTCAACGTGAAGCAATTGCTGAATAGTGATAAGAATAGTGATTGCAGCACACCTAATCATTATCTCTGACTATGCAATTTAAATCCCCATGACAATGCACTTTGAGATCTTGAAAACCATTCAGTTGTATTCTAGAGCTCTACAAGTGAGGTTGATTGTTGCACTAGGAAAAAGTGCGAGTGGCAAATAAATTCATTTTAGTTGAAAAAGAAGCTCATATGAAGTTAAGATAAGCAGTGAATCCAAAGTCCCCTGGTAAGCAGGTCGTCGAGGAGCTTATAAAAGCGCGCAGCAGTGTTTGTGCATCATTAGTTGTCTCTGAAGATCTGACAATGCTATTGTGGAGTGATATTGTGTTCCTCCTGGGAGGCTTGGCTCTGCTCGTGTATTACTTCTTTAAGCGGAAATTTTCTTACTGGGCCAAACTTGGAGTTCCCCATGCGAATCCGAGCTTTCCATATGGCAACATCGGCGATGTGGGCAAAAAGCTCCACACAACGGAACTGTTTCAGCAGTTCTACAGGGAGTTCAAAGGAAAAACTCCCTTGATGGGCTTCTACGCCACAGCGGCACCTCAAGTGCTTCTTCTGGACTTGGACTTGATTCAGAGGATTTTCATTAAGGACTTCCAATACTTCCACGATCGAGCGCAATACTACAATCTCGAGGATGATCCGATTTCGGCCCATTTGTTCAATATTGACGGCGAACGGTGGAAAATCCTGAGAGCTAAGATATCCCCAACTTTCACAAGTGGCAAGATGAAAATGATGCTCCCGACGATGATTGACGTGGCTCAGAACTTCCACGAGACTCTCTTCCAACGCATCCAGGATGAAGCTGAGATCGAAGTCAAGGATTATCTCTCTCGCTTCACCACTGACGTCATTGGGTCGTGTGCGTTTGGAATCGAGTGCAACAGCCTCCAGGATCCCAAGACGAAGTTTAGAGTGTTGGGGGATAAGGCTTTCGCCACGCCTTGGTGGAAAGTCATAAGATTCAACTTCGCCTCGTCCTTCATATCGCTTGCACGGAAGCTCCACATCAGAGTAACTGACAAGGATGTGTCAGAGTTCTACACAGGAGTTGTGAACAGCACCGTGAAGTACAGGGAAGAAAACGGTGTTCAGCGAAATGATTTCCTGAATCTGTTGATGCAATTGAGGGATCGAGGAAGCTTGGATGGTGAAGCTGTTAACGAGAGTGGCAAGCTGACGCTGGATGAGATTGTGGCGCAATCCTTCGTGTTTTTCCTGGCTGGCTACGAAACCAGCTCAACAGCAATGACTTTCGCTCTGTACGAATTGGCTAAGCATCCGGAGATTCAAGAAAGAGCGCGTCAGAATGTCAGAGACTCTCTGGCTAAATATGGAGGCAAATTTACTTACGACGCGGCCATGGAAATGACATATTTGGATCAAGTTATCAATGGTAAATATTTGACTTTTTCAAATTTAAATAACCATCTTTACTCATTTGCGTTTTCCAGAAACAATGAGAAAATTTCCACCTCTGGGCAGCTTAACGCGTCGCATCACTCATGATTATCAAGTTCCCGGCACGAAATACGTGCTGAAGAAGAATCTACGCGTGATTATTCCCATCCACTCAATCCAGAACGATCCGGACATCTTCCCAGATCCCGACAAATTCGATCCTGACCGCTTCTCTGTGGAGAAATCAAGGAATCGCCACAATGCCGCCTTCATGCCTTTCGGAGACGGTCCGAGGAACTGCATTGGTCTGCGGTTCGGCATGATGCAAGTGAGGGTGGGTCTGGCCACAATTCTGCGGCACTTCCACGTCTCCCGCTGCTCACGGACACCTGACCCTCCTGTCGTGCGGAAGGACAACTTTACATTGTCGTCCGAAGGCGGAATGTGGCTCACGCTCAGGAGAGTTTCCGAGTGAATAAACTCCTGATGAGGCGGCGGAAAGTTTCGAAGAGCCTCTCCGGGTAAATTACATTCACTTTGCTGAAAGTTCCGACAGGTCATCAGGAGGTCCCTTGTGGTGTGAGTGAAAAAAAGAATATGGGAAATCATCTTCACATTTTACCTTTTGAAATTGTAGTTTGAATCTTAATTATGCGGAAATCTCTCCAACATTTAATACAATCCTCGACACAATGAATGTACATAGAGAATCAATATGTATTGCTGAATAATTAATTTCATGCTATTCTGCTTATTTGTCAATATCACAAAATGATAATTTGAAACCAATTAACAATTTCTCTTTGATTTTGTGGTGAATATTGTGCAAATGTGAAGAGAAAATGCAAATATTTACCAATATTTACAAAATTTGCAGAATTGTGGCGTGTGCTTTTTTTTTTAAACAATACTATGAAGTGTTTACACATCCCAAATCTAGCATAAAGTGGAGCAGAATATGAATTGAGTGAAGCACAGAGTGTTCACGGACTTTATTTTCAGTTTCGCCCTTCCTTGGTCCATCATTTCGTCAATAAAGTCATCACAAGCTCACTGTGAAGTGCTTGTTTATGCTTAATGTTTCTACAGTAAATGAGAATTATTCTAATTATGTACCCTGTTATTTTCACCAAAGAAAAATATGATGATGGAAAAGCGGAGAGAGCAAACAGGAAAGCTCCATGAATTAAACACAAGCCATGAAATTAATTTTGCAATTGTACGCTATCAACAGAGCTTCTCGTGTTGAGAATGAAATTGGCCAATTAAAGTATTAACTTGAGCGACTTTAATAGATAAAAAAAAGCTCAGTGATAATCAATATGGCGAGTGTGGGTTTTATTGTGGGTGTGTAATTGAATTTCTAATGGCAAACGCTTGTCTTTGGCAGGTGAACCATAAAAATTTTCGGTTTGCCATAAATTAAAACCCCCCACTTTTGGGTTTAACCGTCCCAGATGGGGAGAATAAATAAAAATTCTTTCGGGAAAATTGAGGAAGACTCAGAGCTGAGGATGAGCGAGCAAACAATACAGCGATAAAGGAGGGCAATTGGTCTGAACAATGCAAAGTTGATGGGGATGAAGAGGACTTTGCGAAAGCTGAGCAATTTGCAAATACTTGTCCTCATCCTTATTTATCTTTCGCTCTTCTTACGTTTTGCTAGAGAAATTTAGCCGCTATTGTTCTGCTTTTTTGTCACCACCAGTGAAATGCATTGCCTTCAATGGGGTCAGAGTTATTGGGGTGCGAGAGTGAGATAAATCCTCCAATAGATTGAACATACATAAAGCGCTCCGATCGAATGCAATTCAGGGATTATCGCTGCTCTCTTTGGCTGTTGCCAGAATCACACGAGTTTCACTGAGGCTGCATCGACGCCAACCCTTTCGGTTGCGCTGTAAATTTTGTATTCACACCTTATGGCGTCCTGGGGAATTCCACTGAGGCATTCCAAGTGCCGTGCCTTGAGGGTGGAACGGTGAGACATACCCTGAAATTGAATTAGAGGTGAATGAGCTTTTCCCATTTACCTTTTTCCGTATCTCATCGTCGGCAGCCGGAGCGGAATGTGTTGAGCAACACCATAGGATTGATGAACATTTTCGCATTCACCTCACCAGAAAGCCGAGATAGTCCGTGCCGGTGAAATCTCCCGTCGACAGTAGCGAGTGTACACAGCATATGATATTGTTCCGTACAACTCCGCGTTACGACTCTTCTGCATCTGCATTGAGAAGTAAATGAGGTGCAAAAAGGGTCTTGAGAGGGTGTTTTTTCTGGGGCTGAATATAAAACACAGCATGGTGGAGCCGAAGAAAATAAAATTCAAAGCGAGAGAGAAGAAATAACAGAGCAAAATTTCAGAAACAAATTGATATTCATAAATATTGTGAAGAATTTATGTGTTTCGCAACCAGAGTAAATATGATAATTCCATTGAAAACCAGACAAAAATTGATTGGAAGGCAAGAAGGAGCTCTTAATTTATAACTATTTTCTATACTTGCGATTCAGAGCTTCACCTCTAGCCCTAAGTTTGGAATGGAACTTAAACAACACTGCTTTCCTTTTAGTTTTACTCAAATGTTGTACATAAGATTGAGAGGAAACTAGATTTTTTCTGCTTTCAAGTAAATACCTTTCTCAAGCACCAGAAAAGGCATCGTGAGTGGATATCCTTCCAATGGAATATCTGTCATTCCACAGGGAGAGAACTTCAGACTCTGTAGAAGTGCCACAAGTCCAACGCGCATCTGCATCATGGCAAAACGGAGTCCTATGCAAATTCTAGGCCCATCGCCGAATGGTAAAAATGTGAATTGAGGTCGTGATGCAATAGCTTCCTTGGTGAATCTCTCGGGATCGAACTTATCCGGGTTTGGATAGTACTCAGGATCACGATGAATACTGTAGACGTGAATATAAACGTTCGTGCCTTTCTTGACTGTATATTTATCATCCGGAATTGGGTAGTCTTCCTTGCAAATTCTCAACAAGTGAGTTACAATAGGGTATTTTCTCAGTGTTTCTAAAATTATAGTAAGAATTACTTATGGATTTCTAATAATAGTTTTGGTTTTCTCACCATTGATGACCTGTTCTAAATATGGCATGTCCATCATCGCCTCGTAGGTGAATTCGTTGTTGTGCTTTTGCAGAACTTGATTGATGTGTTCGCGGGTTTTCTCCTGAATATCTGGATTCAGAGCCAATTCGTAAAGACAGTACATCATAGTTGTTGAGGAAGTTTCAAATCCACCCAGAAAGAATATGTAAGCTTGTGCTGCAACTTCATTCAAAGTTAACTTCTCACTCTCACTTTGACTGTTCTTAAGGCCAATCAAAAGGTTCATGAAATCATTTCTCTCAATGCTGTGTTTCTCTCGATGCTCCACTGTTTCACGAACAACTCTCATGTAAAATTCTGAAACTTCAGGGTTTAGGAGCAACATGTCAAAGAATTTCCCGACTTTTGGGAAAGCATTCAGAAAGGCTTGTTTGATTCCGTCAAGACTTGGTCTATAGATTGCTTGGAAACCGTAGTTTTTGAATTCTGTATTCGGATCCTTGAGACTGTTACACTCGAGTCCGAATGCGCAGTTTCCAATAACATCCATAGTAAATTTAGCCAGAAGATCTTTAATCTCGACTGTGCTATCTTTCGCGACTTGCTCTCTGAAAACCCTCTCGAATTGATTAGAAATGCCACTGACTATCGGGAACATCATCTTCATTCGACCACTGGTGAATGTTGGAGAGAGTTTAGCTCTCAAATTTTTCCATTTACTTCCAGATAAGGAGAACAAATGAGCCGTGAGCGGATCGCTTTTCTCGTTGACGTAGAATCCGCGGTCCTCAAAGTGATGGTAGTCTTTAACAAGAACAGTCTTGATAAGGTTGGGGTCAATGAACATTATTGCGGGCGACGTGAAGGTGTAAAGCCCTCCAAATTTGCCTTTAGCCTTCAATTCTTTGTACACTTGGTGGAAGTTAAATATAAAGGGAATGCGATTAATCAAGCTTGCGCCACTTGTTCCCAGCAAGAACATAGTGTTAACAGAAGGCACTCCTTCGCGGTCCCAATAGGATTGCTTGTACTTCACGTACAAGTAGAAGGCGGCGAAGATGGCGTAGATAGTGAAGATTATATTGAGCCACTCCATGGTGGATATTCACCTCAGCAACTTTCTTTAAGCACTCTGAACAGTGGTTAGGATAACTCTGAATAAAGTGAGTGCTCTGAGCTGCTCTTTATAAGACACCATATCAAAAAAGAATCTTGATTGCCTTGTATAATTTAGGTAATTGTATTGGAGTGTTTTGGAGTGTTTTGGAGTTTGAAAAATGATAAGATTATGCACAATCTATATTTACAGATGCCAAAATATCTTCAAGAATAGATACTGCAAAGCTCATTGCAGTACATATTCGCCTCGTCAGTCGGGTGGCGAGCGACAAGGCAGATTTCAGTCACTCCTAATCGCCCAAAGAGTGTGTGTGCTTGCGGGAGTTTGTGGTGGGCAATAATTGGATTTCATGAGACTCTGGCATCACTTGAGTGCCACAGCGTTCGTTGTGTCGTGCGGAATATGATTTTGTGATGCTGGCCGTGATTACTACGGCCGAAAAGGTGATTCTAATTAATTACGTAGAACAAATATCACATTTCATTGAGTGCCGTGTAATTGATTTCCCGTGGTGACTTTCTCAGTGGGTGGCCAATAAAAATACGCTCATTGATAGTTTGGTTTGACACTCACACTTTCACGCTCGGTTGCTCCGCACACAATGTTATCAGCAATTACGATATTGCTGTCAGTTATCGCCCCCGTCGTGCTTCTGTGGTGGTACGTTACGCACTCATTCAAGTACTGGCAGAGGAGAGGCATTCGGACTGTTAAGCCGAAGTTTCCGCTGGGAAATGGCCAGACGGGCAAAACAAAGGTGCACTTTTCCGTCCTCTTCGCCACATTCTACAACCAATTGAAGTCAAGCGATGCGCCCTTTGGCGGAATTTACCTCTTCACACGTCCCATAGCGTTGGCTTTAAAGCTGGACTTCGTCAGGGATGTGCTCATCCGTGATTTCCAGCACTTCTCAGACCGTGGCATCTTCTACAATGAGCAAGATGATCCTCTGAGTGCCAATTTGTTTACACTCACGCGGGAAAAGTGGAGTGTTCTCAGGGCAAAGCTCACTCCCACTTTCACCACGGGGCGGATGAAGGAAATGGCAATTCTCGTTGCTTCAGTGGCTCAGGAGTTGCAATCCTGCCTCAGGACGACACTCGTCGAGAGCTCAACCGTGGAAATTAAGGACTTGATGACCAGATTCACCACAGATGTCATCGGGAGCTGTGCCTTTGGCATCCACTGCAACAGTCTCAGGGATCCCGAGAGCACTTTCGGAGGGATGGCTAAGAAGGTGGTTCAGCCTGCCAACTCACGATTGCAACAGCTGTTCATGACGGCCTTTCCAGCCGTGGCGCGATTTCTTCACATGCGAACCTTCGACAGGCAAGTCACATCTTTCTTCCGAGCTGTCGTCGAGGAGACAATGCGACAGAGGGACCTCGGAGGTACGGCATGTCACGAAGGGTGGATACGTGGAACACTCTGAACTTGTCCTGGGGCGCGTAATGCCTTCAAATGCCTTTTAAATGGCTCATAAGTGGTGAAATATGTCACTTACAAGGGCATATTTACGAATTTTAGGGAATAACGTGGCTTAACATGCAAAGTAGAGACGATATCGTGAGTGAGAATGTAAACTATTGCCTCCAGCTTGGCCCCGGGATTTTGTACTCAAGTTGAGAGTGGCTTCACGAAGGATAGTTTTCAGTTTTTTAGCAGATAAATGATTTAATTTAAGCGATTTCCACTAAAATGGAGAAATATTTACAAGAAAAACACTCCTTGTTATTCTCGCTAAAATAGTGTTGTAAACGATTACATTACATAATATGTAAGAGAAGGAAAATTGTGAAATTTTCCAAAGGTATTTATCCAAACAAATTTTTAACATTTCCTATTTTAGTGGAAATTGCTTCAGATGTTCTGAAATTTTCTATTTATCTATTCAAAGTTTTTGAGCTAAAATTGACTTGTAGTATTGTTGCTGAGTTTGCGTGCTATAATTTTTTTTTGCATACAAGGATTTCTTATATGTTTTTTTCTAGACTCTGAACGTAGGAATGATTTCATTGATTTGCTCATGAAGTTAAGGGACGACAATGCAAGCTTAACAGCAGATGAAATTGCTGCACAGGCCCTGATATTCTTCTCTGCTGGCTTCGAGACATCGTCCAGCACTCTGACCTTCTGCCTGTACGAATTGGCAGTGAACGAGGCAATTCAGCGGCGAGTTCGGGAAGAAATTGAGGCAATTTCCTCCAAATATGATAATCAAATAACGTATGAGTCTCTATCGGAAATGAAATATCTCGACAGGGTTATAAATGGTGAGGCACTTCTTGCCCTTTTTATTGCTTCCACTCATCCTCATCTTACCTCCTTCTCAGAGACACTGAGGAAGTATCCGCCGCTCGCATCACTCTTCCGGCGCGTCACACAGACCTACTCGAGCCCCGAGGGCGGGGAGCTGGCGAAGGATATGAATCTGATTATTCCGATTTATGCAATCCACCACGATCCGGATATTTATGAGCAGCCCGAAGTCTTCAATCCAGACCGCTTTGAGCCGGAGGCGGTGAGTCGACGGCACCGCTGCGCCTTCTTGCCGTTCGGCGACGGGCCCAGGAACTGTATTGGCTTGCGCTTTGGCCTGATGCAAACCAAAATCGGATTAGCCGCGCTATTGAGACGATTCGTGTTCAGTCCGTCAGCAACAACGCCGAGGTCAATCTCATTCACACGGAAATCTTTAACTCTCACACCCGACGGCGGGCTGTGGTTAAATGTTGTGGAATTAGTTTAATGGAATAGCATTAAAGTCTTATGGGGAGGATTTCTCCGCAGAGCTCCAGCAGTGTCCCACATAGAGGAGACTTTCTGCCATGATGCAGGGAGCAAAAGTGGGGGCGAGAATGATGTGGAGCAGAGCAAAAGAAAAATCTACGAGAGATGTTTTCTGCCGTAATATTGTAAAAGAAACTTGCTCGAAGACATAAAATATCTCATACTTGTCCCGGCATTGCTACTTATGACAGAGACTTCTATAGTCAGACGCACTGTTGAAGAGCTCGTTGAACTTTTCCAAATGGCACCTCGAATCGAGCAATAAAGTCAAACTGTACAGTTGTAAATATATGTTTTTCTCCAGACTCCGGCAATGCTTCACAATCGTCTTGGCTCTACAGCAGTCACTGCTTAACCGCCCCAACTTTGCATGTTTCCCAAATCACAAAATTCTCCATAACTCCCCCAAGGGTGGATAAATAGTGACTGTGCGTTGTTCTTCGGGCCCTCATACCTCATCAGGCATCCTTTCCACCTGCTCCTTCGGCGCCCCATCCTGAAAATTTGAGAAACACACACAAGCCAGCGTCATTTCATCCATAACACCCCCGTCAGGCACTTCTCGAGGCAATTTCCATTCGCAGGAGTCACATGACGGCCGACGACACTGCAAAAGGGGGGAAGAGTCGTAAAATTTTCTATTTGAAGCATGCTTTCGCTGTTCCCTCTGTGCTTTTACGTTTCTGCATAAATAAGAGATTCTGCGGTGTGATTTTTTCTCACTTCTCGCTCTCTGCGCCTTCGCCTTTGGATATCGTGTGACTTCAGAGGCAGTGAATTCTCAAATCATTCCCTGATTAATAAAGAGAAAGAATATATCCAGAGGGGGTGGCTTGATGTAGGAAAAAGCGCCACAAAAGGCGAGATAGGAGACTCCTTTGTAGCAAATGCTCAAGGATATAATGTAATTCATTCGCATTTAGTGGTTTGTAGACTTCTAGGTCGTTGCTTTTTCTACGCCATATTTATGTAATCACGATAACTTTTCAACTCTGCATTCAACAGTTTTTCACCGTGAATTATTCAAAACTTTCAACTTTTTCCATCGGATGCGAATTAAAGTTACTCACTTGGATTTAATAGGGATTTTTCAAAGGCGAATAGCACGCTTTTGAAGAGAGAGAGAGAGAAAATTCGCTAAATACCATATCATGACCGCATTATCGATTCATGAGTTGCTCTTAGATAGGAAAATTGTATATCTCCTCGGATTCAAGTGCTGAACATGCTAATGAGTCATTATGTATAGATTGCGCATCAATGGTAAATGCACTTGCTTAACTGCATAATCTATTAAAGCAAACTGTGTGGAAAATTAAAGATTTCATAGTCAAGTGTTTCATATTTCACAAGTCCAAACACGTTCGAAAGTTTAGCAAACGACCACATCAGGCGTCTTTGTGGTCGAAAGAAGCTCTAAAGCTTCCACATATAATAGGAAATGTAGGTAATTCACTGAACAATGAAATAAACATTGTGTGCAATTGTTTCTCCCAATTTCAGTCCATTAACTTTGTGATTTTTTCATGATTTAATTTTAAATTTTGATTATTCGATACAAATTTAAATCTTATGGCAAATATTGTGACTTTTTTCTAAATGTTTACCATCTTCTCATACCAAAATACTTAAATATATTAAAATTTTATTTAAATATTCAGAAAATATTCATAATAATATATAATTTTTATTTAACACACAAAATTTTTGATAATGCTTTTTCAAATTTTGATTATTTGATTTTTTCCATACAAAGTAGAAATCAATATTTAAATATTTGATTGGGACCATTAGACTTTGATTAGACAGAAAGAAAAAGTTGCAAAAAATGGTTTGTGGGAAAACAACTTTTTTTCAATGCCGAAAGGAGTAATAAAAAGGATGCTAAAGTGTGAGTTTTGCAACATACTTGAGTCTGATGTTACATTGACGTTCGAGTGGAGAAGAATTTCTAAATTCAATATGCTCAGGTTTCTCGGAACTTTTCAAATGCATCATGATGGTGAGCTTGAATTTCATTCCCTGCACCGCACAATTTGCATAAAAGCTTTCGGAGTGCTGAGTGCAGAAGCAAAGCAATAAGTTTCGTGAATTCACGGTCTGCAGCCACTCAGTTTATAATCTGTATCTCCTCATCAACAAACTTCCTCGAAGCCACCCCATCTTCTATTGATTTTCATCCGCTCATCTTCTGCGACGGAGGCGCCGAGAGTCAGCGTGTCGTCGGTCGACATGAAATCACAGTGGCAAATTTATTCAAAATACACTCGGGTGACCGATGTTCACGCATGCAGACATGGTCCTCACACCCAGTCTCGCGGGACTCCTTGTTTTTTCACGCTCCGCAGACCAGATGGTGTTTGTCTGTTCCCGAGGACACCCCAGCGATCCTGCGACAGTCAATGCCACTCCGTCATCTGATACCAAGTCTGATACAGCGACTCGTTGCTGTGGCAACTGTGTGGTCCAGGCGCACCCAACTGAGTCATCATGGCTTGGGGACTCGGCGGGGATGCCCGAGATGCGTCCTCGTGCCAACGCAGACGCTCAGTGGGGCGCCCGCCAGTGGCGTGCCGCGCGGCGAGCGCCGGGAAGAGCAGCCCCCGCGCGGCGCTCGCTGCGCCACTGGCGCCTGGTGCGGGTGCCGAGCATCCTCTCCCCTGCAGATTCATCCCCACACGGCCCAGCCACTGGCGGGGGGCGTCCGCAGGCCGAGGCATCGCCAGTCGTGCAGGATTTCGCGTCGTGAGCACTTCCCAAAGTCGCTTTTTTGGCAAATTGTCGTCTAGTTTTTTTTTCACTCTCTCCTGGTCTCGCCTCGCAGGGGTCAGTCGGGTCGGCAGGGAGTGGAGCAAATCGAATTAATTACTCTGTTCGCTGGATTATTGATGGGAAAGGGAGCCGAGCGTGGGAGATGCTCTCAGAGTTGCCCATCAATTCCCGGAGGCTGAGTGTCATCTGGTGTGAAGACATCGATTTTCCCACCCAGGAAGCCTCGGAAAAGTGTCAATTGCACTCCAATATGACTCCTGATTTGGCTGGGATGTGAATTTGTGAAGTGTGAGTGTGGCCGGAGGCGAATGGAATTGTATTTCTCAAATGTGATTACAATGAAATATGCTGCTGCGGTGCTTAAATGAATTTATTGGGCGGAATACGGAAGGATTGTGAGACTCTCGAGCATACACCAGAGGAAAGTTTTCAATTACCAGGTGAATTATAACAATTTCACTTTCTCCCCTATGGCCCCCTTATCGCAAATCTCCATATTTCTACCACCTTAATTCACTTCAACACAGCCGAAACTTGTGTATCTCTTTGATCTCTAACTGACTGTGCAATTTGATGTATGAAAACTGCCGGGCTGCCGCACAACTTCCGAGAGGTGATTGCGGGGAGATTGGCCCACCCCACCTGGGGTGATAGTTGGACTCCTGCTGTCGGGGTGGGTCTGAGGAGAATAACAGCTGAGGCGGTGATTTTTGATTGATGATTCTGTTACTCTCGCTGAATTTTTATCCGCACCAAAGCAGTGGCCACGGAGGGTGTCTTGTGGTCTTCAGCCGCCTATTAATCATTTTTTCCCTATTTTCCACTCAAGCACCGCCCCACCTCCCCATAATCGCCAAGGCGATTTTATTACTCCCGCTTCTGCCAATCTTTTCGAACTTCCAACTGTCACTGGTCTGCATTGCATAGATTCCAATGCATTTATTAGCGGTTGGATGTCGGAAGAATTGCTAAAATAACGACATATTGAGTGTGGCAATGAAGATGAATTGAATGAAATTAATGCACCCATTAATCTTGCTTAAAGAACAGATAATAAAGACAAATTGAATTTTTCTTTTGTAAATATTTCTCTGGAGATTTCTGAAGGAGAATTTGAAACTTTTAAAGAAATTGTACAATTCAAAGAGAAACTTCTTGCTGCAGTTTGAGTTTTGGTTAAAGTGATTTATAGTGCGGCAGTGCTTTGGTGTAACCAAGAGCAGACATTACAATTGAACAGTGTGGCTTGTCAGCGAAAGTTTTTAACACTATGAATCGCAATCAAAAATTCAAAAGCAGTAATTTTGCACAATTTTTGTGTAATTGTCTCACTTTGAGAAGTTTAAGAGGTTCTTTTATTTGTGGGTCTTTTGGATACTGTTTTATTACATCCATTCTCTAAAGTCACCCTCTTGTCCTTGACAATCCTCCTCACTTTCCATTTTATCAATTAAATTTAAAGCGAGTTACTATCCTTGAGAGTATTTTTAGCTAATTTTCAGGTCGATATGCGCCACTGTTATTTCTCGCTCCGCTGCCGCGGCAAGAATGCCCGAAAATACGACATTCTGTCGAACGATTCCCAATATATTGCATAATGAGCCCAAGTATTCACACATTCTGATACTCTGCGGATGAGGCAAGGAGTGGAGCATCGTCGAAATAATTAATCAGCTATATTGATCGAGTGATAATGTAATGGGTGTGCAGATATTTGGCGTTGTGCGAATGTCAGTGAGTTGTATAATTAACGATTTGCCGATTTATCTCTCATTTGTAATTGCCCAATAAATTATCCAAGGGGCAAAGCACTCTATTTCGTATGTGCATGAAGATATTGGAGTCATGAGGCGAAAAAAGTGAATGCCTAGGGACGATAAAATATGGACAGCGCGATGGGGAAGGGAATTTTGATCCCAATTCTCCGGAGAGCACAGGAATAAATGGTATTAGATATTAAATGAATTCTCTCTCTCTCTGGGAGAAAAAGGGCGAGAACAAAAGGAAGCAAAGTACGATAATATCGATTTATTCTTACGCCACATATTGACTTTGGGATATGGCGCTTTTTTAGCCGCACCACCCCAAATAATTCCTCAGAAAGCAACTGTTCAGCACTTTCCCGGAGCTTTCTGCCGAGGGCCACCCGAAAATGTGAATAAGGGTCTCTTCACTAATGCCAAATTCCCAATACAAACACGCGCTGCCTTGTCGCTGGTGCGGGGAAAACACTGTGTTCCATGAATTATTTTGTCGCAAGACTAATGAATATTTCAGTCGATGGTGTGGAATTCTTCGACAATGGCAAAGAACATTTCATTCACACATGGTTGCAGTTGAGAAAATCTCACATAAGGGATTTGCTTCTCCTCACCAAGCAAACTTTCCCAAGCATGCAGTTAATTTCCACCAACTTCTTTCGTATTGGGTAATAAAATTCAATGTAGAAATTTGCTGAAATTGTTTCATCAACAACAGCAATAAAGTCCAACAGTATCGTTTTAGAAAATATTCCCAGGGATGGCGTATAAATCCAGCCAAGGGTGCTTGTAGAGATAAGAGTCGCGCATTCACCAGGACCGTTTATTGACAATTTTTTCTAATGCGTTGATACACCGTTTTATACCAAACTGTGTGTAGATTAAAAAAAAAAACAAATAACCATTTACAAGAGCAAAACTTCGCATTTCCATTTGCGTTTTTGCCACTGCATTCAATCAAGCCTTTAGCATGCAAAACGAGGGAGGAAAAAAATGAACTTTTCAACTGCGTTTTCGCCCCAATAAATGACTATATGTGCATATTCCATGGCTAAAATGTGCAATAATAATTTTTAAAAATTAGATTTCAGAGAATAGGTGAGCTTTTTCGCATTTGCCATGCATTAATGATCATTTTCTCGCGCTTCTTACTTAATTACGCGCGCCCTTTTAATTATTTCCGCTGCTCAAGGGAAAGCAAGATTGCCATGATGGTGTAGAGGCGGAATCAATAAATAAATAAATAAAACAAAATATAATGCCACTCACCGTTCCAAAGCAATAAAAGACGAATAAATTGCGGATTGTCGGGAGCTTCTCCACTTGAATAGAATGCGTGAGACGCTGCGGAGTGAGTTTGCGAGATACAAAAGCGAGGATCTCATATGCGAATTGACTGAAATGTACTTTGAATAGTAGGCAAAATTGGAAAATGCTAATGAAAAATTCATGAGGGTCGTGGGGGGAGGGCTTGTATCAACGTGACAAAACCGAAAACCCTAATCATAACATTTTCCATTCCCTGAGACTGGATCTGCGAATGTGGAGAGCGCGTGGGAGAGAATGCTTTAAAATACTGTGAAATTGAATAAATCTTTGACGCTATAGAGGGATTATCGGGGGTGATTTTATCTCTTCTTTCTCCCCTTCAGCCAAATTAAAACCATGGATTTTCACTTGAGTCTAGACGCCTTTTGTCAGTGTCTTTTCTCTGTGTACAATTGGAGATTTTTCCACGTCTCCGGCAAGGTGGCTGGCCGTGGCGGGCGTCGTAAAAGTAATACGTGTACAAATTTAAGGATCTCGCGCTCTCAACTCCAAAGGGCGGACAAGAAGGGAAGCTGGGCGAACAATGAGGGGGCGCGGCAAAAAATAAAGATGAGTGGTAAGAATTGTAATGATTCCCCGAGGCGAAATGGAAGAATGAAATTTGTAAAATGCAAAAGTTTGCCAGTGAAGAGGAAAAAAATGTCATCGTGCAGATTAGGCGGAAGGCGAAGGGAGGGAATTATCAACGCCCATGTGACAAGACATTTCCATCACCATCACTCACGGGCGCCCGATTGTGGGCGGTGATGCCGTGGAGACATTCTGCGGAATCACCCCCAGAAGATGTTGGAATGCTCTACATGAGGGGGTGAAAAATGTTGAATGACAGACAAGGGAGACCTTCTCCCCACGACAAATGTACGCAACTTTTTCACTTTATCTTCCAGTCCAGGAAATGTCACGGCGTTCGGCTCTGAGAGGTGCAATAGTGGGGAGCAATTAAGAGTGGAATGAGGCCTTGAAGTGCTCCAATAAAACCCAACACAGCCCATCCCATTCCGCCTAGTTTACTCCTAGAGGATTCTGACTTCTTGACGCTTGCTTAAGCAACGATAAATATTACATTATCATCGCAGTCAAGATAGAACTTTTGTAAGCAACACATTAAATCGAGCGTTAAATTGTTGACTCAAACCATACTTCTTCAATCCTTTCCCATAATTCAAACAAAATAAGACAGAAAATGAAAATATTTAGACATCTGCGAATATCAAATAGAAGATCCAAGAGAAAAACGAATGAAATCATTTATATATCATATATAGATACATAAATTATCCTTCAAACATAAAATAGACATTAAGAATCACACTTGAAGTTAACGTCATTTATCTACAATTGTATTTAGAATGTTTCTGCTGATGTACACTTCATCCAGAGACTCTTCCACCCTTGACGACGAACAATACCGCGAGCACTTTGGCAATTTTAGCGCGGGTACAGAGAAGAAAAAGAGAAGATTCTATCGTGTTCATTTTCATTTATTATTGTGACACACAGACAGTTATCATTTCTTCTTTCAGCTATAAATTCGTTGCCAGAAAAAAACACATTCCAAATACAAACAGTGCTGGGAAATGTTTGGGAAATCGTGTGTGCAAATGCATAGTTTCTGGTTATTACCATATAATGTTTCCATGGCCACCATATAGTGGCATGTGTGCTGAATAATTTGCAGAATTCACAATGATGCGGACGAGCAAATTTCAATCAGTGTCCATGCCATATTTTGCCATTCGCTGCAGTGATTCCGTTTTCGGCCAGCTGGGCGGATTTCCGGGTGGTTACTTTCAGATGAGCATCAGTCATCAGGCTGAGATTGAGTGTAGTGGTTTTGAAATGGAGCTCATGGGGATGATCCGAGTCCGTGCAGTGGAAATCATACTTGGACAGCAGCATCACTAATCCCACCTTCACCACAATCTTGCCCATCCGCTGAGCTGGGAGGAAATTGCAAAAATTGATTAATATTTCGTGCAGTTTTGAGCGTTTTGAACACGAAATTGGAGGTGTAACAATATCCGATCGGTCGCATGGAGCAATTTTGCACACTCCCAGTGAATTGTGGGAAGTGAGTGCGGATTTTGACATTACGGTTCAGCATCATCCATTAGTGGGTAGAGCCAATTCAGTAATTAAATACCCGTCAGAAGAGTGGACAGAGCTAACGCAATTACCGCGTACAAAAGGATGCACAGAGTGGCTTTATTGATCGGTTTCCAGCTAAACTCCCCATAGCCAAATATTAGTGCGTTCCATAAAACCAATTATATATACTTTATATTTTCGGCCAGCTGAAAACTTTTGCTGGTCACCCCTCAGCTCCATGTGGCACAGCGATAAGCATCACTTTGCCGAAACTTTGGTCATTTCAAGCTATGTGTGGGACTGATGTGGAGCCTCACGAGGCCATCGGGAACAGAGTCACTGTGAAGCCTTTGTGGTGAAGAATGGATTTTTGGGGCATATTTTTCCAACATTCTCCACTTTCCATTCAATAGCCGCACATGAACTCATCCGAGCAATTAATTAAACTTTTCATTTGCACCCACAATGGGGACACATGGCGACGCCGAGGCTCAGTTGCGTCGAACTCCATTCGGGGCGGTGTCATATGTTTAAAATATCAATTTGCCCAGTCGCACAGACGCCCATTTTCCGGGATTGTGGTCGCGAGACTGGGGATCATTTATTCAGTCTGTTTGAACGATTCCGGCCTCTCGAAGCACTGCAAAGTTCTTTAATTCTTCGCGGAGCGCCGAAACAGAAGGGAAATCGAAAATTCGCAAAGGACCAAAAAGGCCTCCAATGTTGACACAGTGGCAAATTTTTCCCCCTACAGCAAGTAATTGCCGAGGAAAGCCTCTCAATTTCTCCGTGTTGAACTTTTGGGGAGAAAGCCTCTAACACTGAACTTACTGAAACTTCTAAATTGATACTTTGGACTTTGGAAAAAAAATTGCTTTTGAATTGATTTCAGTGAGAACAGACGCTGAACATTCAAATAGGCGGGAGTTTCAATGAAATATTCAAGACTATGAATGAACTTTTCTGGCTTTCTTGAGGGCATTGTTCTGGCAAGTGCAGTGTTAAACTCACCAATGCAATTGCGTGGTCCATCGCCAAATGGATAGAAAGCATTCGAGACGAAGTCGTTGTTTCCTTTGTCGAAGCGGCTGGGCTTGAATTTTTCAGGCTCTGGGAAATACTTGGGATCCATGTGCAGCCCAAAGAGGGAAATGATGACTGGTGTGCCCTTCTCAATGATGCGATCAGTTCCTGGAATTGGATAGTCCTTCGTGGCCTCCCTGTTGAGAATTGGCAAAGCCGGATACTTCCTGATCGTCTCGTTGATGCACTTATCCAAGAAGGGCAACTCTTGGATGTTATCATAAGTGACTTTCCCATTGTGGCGCCTCAGCATGTCATCAACTTCTCGCTGCGCTTCCAAGAGAAGCGTTCGCTGATGGCAGAGTTCGTGAATACAGAAGCAAATGGTCATGGCAGAAGATTCACTTCCGGCAATGTAGAACAGGAAGACCTGAGCAGCGCACTGCTCGATGGACATCATCTTCTTGCCACCTGCAAGAGAAGAGATTCCGCGTCTGCTACATAAAAAGCCCAATGTTTAATGCTGCACAGTGGCCATCAGGCGCTATTAAGTGTACACAAAACCACTATTCATTCTCAATAACGCACAATAATAATCGTAAAATGAGAGAGTGATTCATATTCCTTTTAATAGCGAGATGCTTTATGAATTATTGACTCCCTTTCATGAGAAATGTTCATTTGTTATGGAAATGTTGTTAATGCCTATAAAAACAAGGAAATAAATTGAATATGTAATGAAGAGGAATTTAAGGGCTCTTTTACGGAGAAAACTTCCAGCTTACCATCCTCAGCTTTTGTCTGCCAAGTCTCATCGCTGGCTGAGACTTTGCCGGTGTTGCGCAGTTGCAGCAGTAGTTGCATGAAATCATTGCGCGTGACTGAGTTTTTCTCGCGATACTCAATCGTGTCTTTCACGAGATTTATCACGAATTTCCCCACGAAGGGCGGCATAATGCCCACTCGAAAGATCTCCAGGAGCTTTGGCACCAGAAGAAGTCCCACTGAACGAAGTGCCACTGAGAGGTTGTCTCCTTGAGCGATTTTCCCGATTTCTCGGAATTTATTCTCGGGATTGTTAATCGTATCAACAGTGATGCCGAAAAACACTGATCCAATGATGTCCACCGTGTATCTCACGGACAATTCAAACATCTCTATTATCTTGCCCTCCTTCGCCAAAGGATCTATGTAGTTTTGGAGTTGTGTCGCGGTTTCCATGATGGTGGGAAACATGTTCTTCAGTTTCCCGGATGTGAAGGTTGGCGAGAGGACGGACCTCATATGCTTCCACTTCTGTCCGGACAGAGCGAACATGGTGGCGGACAGAGGGTCGTTCTCTTCGTCACAATGCACTCCGCGATCGTAAAAGTACTCGAAATCCGACGAGAGGATGCTCTTCGCGAGATTAGCATCGCGAATAAGGAGGGCAGGTCTGAAGAAGAGGTAAATCCCGACGAAGGGCTCAGTTGATTGTTTGTACAGCTCATGGAGGCAATTTCCGAGGGACAACTTCTGTCTCACAGTGTCACCGATATTGCCGAAGGGTATCGAGGGCGTCAAGTGCGGAAATCCCTTCCTTTTCCAGTACAAAAAGGTGTTTCTGAAGAACAGATAAGCTGTCCCCAGCACGACGCACAATAATATTAGCAACATGCCAAATAACACTTCTGCACACAACTGGAGAGGAAGTTTCGTATGAATCCAACTTATATAGGCTGAAAAATGCGTGAAATGCTTTATCAAGGTGACTAGGAAAACTTATGAGTCAATAAATAGTAAACAGAAGCAAGAAAAAAATGTGTCTCTCAAGTACTTTCAAACAGGCAATGAATTGGTATAATTTAGTGAAAAAATACCCTACACTTGAAACTCAATTGACACTTTTTCTACACTGATTGTATGTTTGCAAGTAGTTATCTTGCAGATAACATTGAAGACTCTGTCGTGCGTGTGGCTAAAATCTTGTTTTGGTCTTTTTTGCAGCGACGATGGCAACGACAGTTCAACCTGGGCTCAGATCGGGAGGTAAGTGCAACTCTCTAATGAATTTGCTACTGTTATTTCGCTGTGGGAAAACATTGGGAATAAAAGTTTCGAAAGGGGAGAAAAACAGCGTGCAGCATATGCTGCATTGCCGAATCTCGCATCCCTTATTTTGCCTGGGAGGAACTTTAAATTGAATTACCAGAGACTTCTGTCGTTCGTTAGTCACTGGTCTGGTTGTCAGACGGGAAGTTAAGTGACTAGACTGTTTTCTTATCATCTTTGAATCAATATTAGCGAGGATAAAAACACTTTGTGTATCAAGAAGTGGAGCATAGTTTAAAGTGAAGCAGTCGAATGTTTTTGGGTTAACAGATCAAATTAGATTCCCACCACTCAGCCAAGAGCCCCGAAGGGGTTGTGTAGAAAATTTCACCGCCCTTCTGAAGTCACTTCACACAGTGAAGATCGAAGCTCAGAAATGTCGACGGGAAGATGATTTCCGTCACCTCCGGACTTTTTCTCTTCCCAGCGAAAAGAGTAAATTGCGAGTGGCGGTGAAGTGAGGTAATACGATCCATTTGTCATCTGGAGCGTAACACAATATTTCCCCTTTTTACATACTCTCTCTCTCTCTCTCTCTCTATCTTTCTAAAGTGGAGAATCCCGTGAATGTCGCATCAAATTGGACCAATTGCTCAATGGTTGTGGAGGATAAATTTTGCGAGTGATTTCTTATCCGACACGCCAGAAAACTCGCAGCTCAAAAAGTGTTTGGGTGACGAAAAGTGGCAAGAAGGATGGGATTGTGCCAAAACAATTTTTCTTTCACCCCATCACTGACATGAGAAACTCAATATTGCCGTCTCTGCACAGATAGAGGGCATGAATGATGCCATTTCTCGCGACAGAGTGTGTGTCAAAGTAACACGTCATGCAGCAATGTAATAATAATTTTATTGCTCCAGTCATAAATTATAATTCCCTGCACTTGCCCGTAAACACCAAATGCTATAAATTCACATGCGGAAGTGAGAGACGATGAAATGCGGAATTCAACAGAATATCCTTGTCAATGGAAGGGAACAAAAGCTCATCTTAATTTTGCCACCTCCTTTCTCGGGGCCTTTTTTCCCTGCTTCCTAATTACGGCTGAGGAAAACGTCGAGTCCTTTCTGCCAGTCCCTCTTTGGAAGGGTTTTTCTTTCTGCGTGGGTTTGGGGAATGAAAAAGGATTAAGAATGCCGGGTGATGGATAGAGAAAGAGGGCTGCCAGTACAATTTATGCCCGGTGTTCCACCCTTAAACATATCATTAGGAATCTTTGGGCGGTTCTTGGAAAATTCACAATGGAATTCTCGCAAGTGTGACTTGCTTCCATCTGGTCAACATTGTCAGGTCGGCGAGGGAAGGGAATTTCAAAGTGATGGGGTGAATTCGGCACTTTTCTTCAAAAGAAAAATGTATTTTTGGAGAGGAAATACATATTTCGGCAGATGACGTAGGGGAGACAAGGCTTTTTCGAATAGAATTCTCACAATTGATTCGTCAAGAATGACTCCTCAATTCAGCAATGGAAAAATAAAGTAATTTTAATGCTTTCTCGTGGAACAATCCAATACTTTTAGCCTTTTTTTGCATGAATAGATCGACGTGATAGTAATGTGAATTCAAATTACCACTTACTGAATTACCATTTCACCCAGTTTTTGTCATTGTGGTGAACGTAATTTAATCGTCGGTGTTGCAATTTTGAAGAATGCAACATTAATTTCTTCTTCCTCGTCTATTCAGCGAAACAACGAGTGGCTCTTGATGAAATTGCAAATTTAAAATGCGTCCCGCGCCAAAGTATAGCTTCTTGCTGTCTGAGGAGCAAAAAGAGGCATTCCTGAGTTGGATGGAAATGACAAAATGTTCACAGCGAAAGCACGCCCGGAAGGATGTGCTAAAAAAGCACACCGTCTTTGTTCATGGCTCCTCGTCGACCCTCCGAGGCAGCTCTATCTCGGGGCGGTCGCCTTTTATCATGAAAGCTCGGAGACAGAATCATTTGCGTCCAATATCCTTGAATCAGTGGGAGATTCTCGAGTCGCTGGGTGGAATGAGGGCGCTCTGGATTGATATTCTCCCCCCGTTTCTCCTGCATGCCTGGCAAAAGGCTTGGAGAAAGGTGTGTGTGTGTGTGTGGTTGGATTTGGGGCATCCATGGCAAGAACAATGCCGTTCCTTTCGCTCTGAGGAGGCAAATCTTGGTTGGGTCGGTAAATGAGAGGCAAATATAGTGCAAAGTTGTGTCAAATGGGAAATATTTCGTCTACCACCTACAATTCCGCAATTTACCACCTAAATTGCGACAACTGCGAAGAGATCCAACCCCATTCGCCACCCCTTCGTCTTATGTAAATGAAAGCCGGGCGGCAACACACTGTGCAAATTCTCGGCGCCCAGAAAAGGGTTCAGTCGAATTGTAGGATAGACAAATTTTCACACAAATTGAGTTTCTCTACTCATTCCAACTCATGCTTCACCAGAAGTTTTGCTAGGCAAAAATACAACCCCAGCAAATTCATAATTTCAAATGGTGGCAATCTCGCAAAATGATTCAATTGAGAGGAAATTTTTCTCAAATTAGAATTAGTCTGAATACAGAAAGAGAAAACTGCTCCACGTTGCTGTAAAATTCACTTTTCTCCAAGTGTTTTTCATCCCTTTGACGCACTTTTGAACTCTCTTTTTGTCAGAAAAGAATGAAATTTATTCATGCGAAAACAGGAGGATGAAGAAGTCTTATCGAAACTGATAAAATTATTCCTTCTTGGCAGATTTCGTAAGTTTGTCTGATACTTTTCACCCTTTTGCCTTTTCCCATCTTCCCATTGACTCTATTTGTTTTTATTTCATTAATTTAACTTACACCATTCGACCCAACATATTCCACGCGAGGCTCTCTGTGGAATAATAAAGAGCCAACCCATGGCACGTGATGAAGTTCGCCATGCAAATTTTTTCGGCCAGAAAAATAAATAACAATCCAGCGGGCATGATTGGATGGCGAAGGAGGAGAGCTTTTTAAAAACAATGAAGTTGTTTTCCTCCCCGACCCACATTTCAAGACGCGCACAGTCCTTTTGATCCCTCTCCAGAGCCACTCTCGCCCCACTCCTCGGGGTGGAGATGGAGAAAAGGGTTAAATTAAGCTGTCGTCCAGACCACGTGCTGGCTATACATTCGCCATGAGAAGTAAAACCTCCGTCAACGAATCAAGCCTCTGAATCGCCAGACAAGAGAGCAGAGAATATGGAATTAATTTTCATGATTGATTTTTCGTCTCTATGGGAGATTTCAAACAGTTCTCACACCATCGGAACGTACAGGATGCCAGGGTAACTGAAAAATCTACATTTCTGGTCGAAATTCTGTGAATGAATAGCATTGTGGATTCAAAAATTGAATAAAATTTTGATTTTGACTGAAATTTACTGAAACTATTGTCCGGATTTATTCTCACTTCTATTTCCGAGCTGTTTCATGTGAAATTTATCGATTTATACATTACTAATAGTGCAGATTTACAGAATGCTTTGTGGGAAATGTGAATTTTCATACTATTACGTTGACCAAGTGATTCGTGGGTGATTAAGAATTGAGTAACCAATGACCGGATGGGAAACCAAACCTGGAAACCAGCTCAAAATTACTTCCCATTTCCTTAAAATAAGTTCATATAGCGCTTATTCAAATCTCGTTTCATCTTTCATTGTTACTTTATGAAATTTATCAAAGAAGCTTCCCTGCAAGAGCACTTGATTCAATTGAAGCTCACAGCATTGTCAACTTTTCCAGCGAGTATGAAGATCGAGTGGGTTTCGCTCATCCTTTTGGCAAAGAGCTGAAGAGTCACACGAGCTGTCGCATCGTATTTCCTTTCCACCCTTGATGAGTATGTGAAAATGAAATTTGCAAAGCGACGAATAAACTTTGGACGCATCCCGGAAATTGTAAGCCTAATTGGAAATTTCTCATCGCATCAAAATGATGGCTTCACGACGCCTTATCTTCATCACATGTGAATTGAATATGGATTCAATTAAGTTCCACCCATTTTGCCCAATCCAATAAATCTCTCAAGCGGAGAGCAATTATTCTTTGGAAAATTTTCAATACAACCCCCATGTATTATGGTGAACAATTCTGCGGAGCTTTCGGAGGGCTTTTTTCACTGGGCGCTTGTTTGTGTTCCAACCCACTGTCGACCTCATGCGTATGCGATTGTTTGTGACCAGACACACTCACCCACCCTCTGTCATCGCATTTTTCCAACCCTTCGCAATTTGCCATTTCGGAGAGTCTCATTCTATACCTCAGACACGATAAATAACTAGCTGGGCGAAACGTGATACGGCTGCGATAGTGGAAGATAATGATCTTTCGACTATCCATGATTTGTCAGTGTCGCCTTTAAGTTACGAAATTTGTCTGCAACGTGGAAAAGGCGCTTGTGCAAAATTAACGTCGAAATTCGCTGGAAACTTAATCCATAAGCGAGGATTTCTTATAAACAGAACCCTTGAGGATGTTTGAAGATATCGCTACTAATTAAATTGCGCATCTATTAGACACATGCATATTAATTTCAATATGAAAAGCGTATAATTCCTCAAGGGTTGTTTAGCGAAGAAAATTTTAATTAAAACATAAGCAGTAACGCTGAAAACGCGCTGCAGTAGCAATTTACAATGCTCTGGTTTGTTATGAATATCATCCATTAAACCCCTGTTCAATCCACCCCCGAGTTACTCAACCTTGCCGCTCGACGACGACGGGTGAAAGCACACGAGAAGAACTCCAGCTGCTGCTGCGATGGGATTCCCACGCAGACTCTCACACGTGAAGACACCTCGTAAATTTCACCACGACCCAGCTTCTCAACCCATTCATATCTTCCCACTCACGCTGTATCTCGCAATCTTCCGTCGACATTCCTGTGACTTATCGCTGCTCTCTTGCGACTCTCCCGAGGACCGTAAATTCATCTCACG